GACCTTGGAGGTCTTTTCTCCCTCAGCAGCCTGAACAGCACCTTCCAGCACTATGAAAGGCAGTCATGGGAGACTGTCTCCCGGTCAATCCAAGACAGATCTCTCACCACAAGGAAAGTATGTGGTGTCCTGAGCAATAGTGTCTCACCACCTAGTTAAGGCAGCCAAGAGAAATGGCAATAACTGTACCGTCTTTGAAGGACTCTGGAACTTTCTTGACCTATAACTTGTAGGGAGGTGACCCTTGCTTTGAAGTGAGATGTTCCCTTAATAGCCGTCTTCTGAGAGCAGCAATGTCCACCCATGCAGTGTGCCTCTGCTCTTACTCCTTTATACTATGGTTTTTGTTAGTTCAAAAGACATGGCTTTTCCTAACACTTCTTCACACATCCTCAGTTTTAGGGAACTCATCCTTCCTCCCCACTCCCCCAGCAGAATCTACCTTTAGCTCCTAGTATTTCCTTCTTCACAATCTTTCATATTGTGTCTGTTCTAGCTCCTCTTACTCCCATTTGTATTTGAGCTGTAAAGTACGTTCGATGTAGCACTTTCATGGACACTTCACTTGGTTAACCCTTCCTCTTACCCCTCAAGAAATTTCTCAGATCTTATGTGGATGTAGGTGCCAGATATATGGGTACCATATGTAGGTGGGATTTTTCTGTGTCCCGGAAGCTGCTTCCAAATAACCACACAGAGACTTAATACTAATTATAAATGCTTGGCACAAAGCTCAAGCTTATTACTAACCAGCTTTTACAACTTAAATTAACCCATATCTCTTATCTACGCTATCACATGGTAATATCTTTTTCCAGCACAGCATATCCATCTCCTGCTTCCTCTGCATCTGCTGACAACTCCTGAGACTCTGAACTCCTTCTTCACAGCATCCTTAGTCTGGCTCTTCTGCCCAATGTCTTCCTGCCCAGCTATAGGCCAGTCAGCTCTTTATTAACCAATGAAAATAATACATCTTTATAGTATACAAAGATTGCTCCACAGCGTGATAGCTGTCATGAAACTACTGAATCATGTATTACACATTTGCTTGCCTAATATTACATATTAGATAATGATTTCATAGTAAGATATATATGTGGAATGTGTATATGTAGGAGATCTGTAGAAAACACGTTTTCAGAGAAAGATCATTTTGTTACCAGTTATCAAACAGCTGGAAAGAAACTTGGTATCAGCACCTGTTACTTGTCGCCCTCTCTCAGTGAAACTTTAGCATGCAAACTTTTTCGGGAAATTGTAACTCTGCCTTAATGTTTTAAATACAAGATTGAAAATAGACACAAAAACAACAAAACAGTTTAAAATATACATTCCATCCTGGAAGTAAAGAAGTAGAGCGTTCTAGAAAATCCAGTTTCTCAAACTACTACACTTCTTTTCCCAGTGTAATGATTTTTGTCAAGTTCTTGGGAGCACAAAGGATTCATATTACAAATTAATGGTAATCAATAAAAAAAAAGAAAGAAAAAAAATTAATGGTAATAACATGTAAACTAAAAGAACACAAGCATCAAGCTTAGCTAATAAAATGGATGCCTAAGAATAAACATCCTTAGGGGAACAGTGGGTGAGGAAACAGTTAAGGACGACATATACCTCTCATTTTTATTTTACGTACATTGATGCTCTGCCTGCATGTGTGTCTGTGTGAAGTTGTCTGGTCCCCTGGAACTGGAATTACAGACAGTTGTGAGCAGTCATGTAGATGCTGGGAATTGAACCCAGGTCCTCTGGAAGAGCAGCAGGTGCTCTTAACCACCAAGCCATCTCTCAGGCCCTGACACCTCTGATCCTCTGAACTTCTGCTCAAGGTTCAGATTTCTGTGAAAGACGATGGAAAGACCTACCTTGTGTAATGCTCCTTCTGGGCTCCCGGTGGTGGGTGTTGGAAGGACCTATCCATGGTGCTGCAGTCAAGAAGAGAACACAGAATGAGAAGTGGCAGTCCTCCACATCCCCAACCCTAGCCCTGGAACCCTAGGACAGCCAGCCAGGACCTAGTCATCATCAGACACAAACACAACCTACAATCAGAAAGCAAACACATCCCCACGTGAGGAAGCAGCCAGGCGACTGTCTGCCATGTTCTCTGCCAGCCTATCTAAGAAGTCTTCCCCATACACTGTTAGAGCATAAGTTCCAGTAAAACTCGTTGGTATTACCTGCCTTGTGGTTTCTATCAAGAACGCTAACCTTCGGGCAAAGGAAATAGCTTAGCTGATGGAGTACCTTGGCTTCAATACCCAGCACCACAAGAACTCTCTCAGTGAAACTCAGAAAACTGTAACTCTGTGCCTTAATGTTTTAAATACAAGATTGAAAATAGACACAAAACAACAAAGCAGTTTAAAGTGTACATTCCACCGTGGAAGACAAGAAGTAGAGTGGCCCATGCCAGTGGGTTTGAGGTCAGCCTGTCATATGTGAGACTCTACCTCAAAACAAAACAGCCCCACACCTTAGGATGACTGATAACACTGCCACATTTAATCTATATAATCTTCACATTTCAAATGGACTTTTTTTTTTTTTTTGAGAGTCTCACTATGCAGCCCTGACTATCCTGGAACTCACTATGACAATGCTTCTCAACCAGTCATGTCCCCTTTGGGGGTGTCAAATGACCCTTTCAGGGAGTCGCCTAAGACAATGGGAAAACACAGAGATTTACTTTACAATTTATAACAGTAGCAAAATTACAGTTATGAAATAGGGGGTCACCACAGCATGAGGAACTGTCTTAAGGGGTTGCAGTGTTAGGAAGGCTGAGAACCACTGCTCTAAAATTTAGTTGACTGCTGAGTTCAAAACTCCAGTCGTTTTAAAGACCTTCTTACCCATCAACTAATGCTAAGAAAGAAAATCTATTGTACTTGAATAATGTGTGCTTGTTCTGCTATAAGAATATTCAATTCCGGGGCTGGAGAGATGGCTCAGTGGTTAAGAGCATTGCCTGTTCTTCCAAAGGTCCTGAGTTCAATTCCCAGCAACCACATGGTGGCTCACAACCATCTGTAAAGAGGTCTGGTGCCCTCTTCTGGCCTGCAGACATGCACACAGACAGAATACTGTATGCATAATAAATAAATAAATATATTTTAAAATAAAAAAATATTCAATTCCTAAGAAAGATAAGCAAAACCAACACTGTAAAATGGATATAGACTAGCCTGGCCTTGAACCCACAGAGATCCTCCTACCTCTGCATCTTGAGTACTGGGATTAAAAGTGTGCACCACATGTATAGCTAAAGTGAATTTCTTGGATATAACATATAATGGGTATTTATTTTATATACCAGTTATTCACATTTTAATTCTCCTCTAATCTGTTTATTTAGACAATTAATTTTTTAAGATTTTTGATGGCTTTCCCGGCATTGTGTGACACAACTTTCCTTGAAGAGATACAACACAGATGTCTACTCGCATCATACCAGGATCCCACAACAGACAAAAGCATGGGTACCACGAACAACCCACCTTGATGAACCAGTAAGTTCTACTGAGAAGACTTCCAGGAGCAGAAATGGCTCAGACAGTTGCATCACCAAGGCCTATCCTTGCATGTGTGATAGCTCACAAAAGCTGGGAACCTGGAAGGCACAGCGCAGCTTGCAGGCAACTCATCAAGTTAGAGAATGTCCTTTCCAGGAGACTGTTCTAAGCTTCTTCCGGGAAGCTCTGCTGGTGTCTGCTTCTCCAGGGCTGCTGATCTGGTCTCAGAGTCTTCTTTGCAGCTCAGGTTCACTTAGATTGAAAGGGACTCTCAGCTTTGATTGCTTACCTTGGCAGGGAGGAGTCTAATATGTCTGGTCAGTTTCAGGAACTTCTTGAAGCTCTTTTGAGTTGTTTACCTTCATGCTTACAGAGTTTCCCGGCAGGATGGAATGTTTCTGTTCTCAGAGGAAACTGTTACACAACCTGTTATTACTTTCTTGTTGCTGTGATAATTGCCCTAACCAAAAACAACTTGGGAAGGAAAGGGTTTAGTCCAAACACAGTCGTCATTATTGTGCAAAGCCAGGTTGGAGCATAAGGAAGGAGCCTGGGGCATGCCCCGAAACCGAAACAGGGACCCCCCGCTGGAGTGCTCCTTCCGGGCTTGCTCAGTTTCACCCGCCCAAGAGTGGAACCACCCTCTGTATCAAACAGTGTTATAGAAAATGCCCTCCAGACAAGCGTAAGGCCAATGGAGGCAATTCTTTAGCCGAGGTTCTGCCTTCCTAGGTAACTATAGTTAATGTCAAGTTGTTAAAAACTACAAGTTGTTAAAAACTAATCATCCCGTTATGTTGTTATCATCCACATTTGTAACCGCTCCAAATCCCTCAAACTGGATTAGTTTATTGTATCTCAGTTAACTGAAAGTCCACACGTAGGATAAATTTTAGAAATACGATAAATAATCTGATCTTCTATCCCCCCCCCCGTGTTAAAAGCCTAGTTCCTGCTGTCGCTCTGCTCTGTGATCTTGTTAGTTTTGTAATTCAACGTTCATCAAGAGTGAACATCATCCCCTTAGATAACGGCGTTTTTACAGGAGGCACTATGAGAGCGTAAGGAGCTTTCCTCCTCTCCCCTCTGCGGAATCACGGTTCCAACTTCAGGCTAACGGAATAGTCAGACTTCTCTTGACTCTAGAGCATTAGGCTCTTGAAGGTCTCTCTCTTCCATCTGCATATAGCCACAGTTAAAATGCATCTCTCTTCAGAAGAAAATTCACACCGGGCCCCCTCAGAGGAAGCAGCGAGCTGAAAGAGAGTAACTCTAAGGTAGAAGAGAATCTGGATCTTTTGGAAAAGCTAGCACCCTGGGCCAGCAACAGCGCTCAGCGTCGCGTCACGTGTCTGCAGCGGCAGCGGGATTGGAGGAGCGCATTTTAGCGCTGCGGTCTAGGCACGGACGGTCCCGCCCAGCTGCCAGAGGAGCCGGGTAGCGGAGAGAAGGAGCCACCAGAAGACCGTGAAGGGGAGGGGGCGGGAGGGGGGTGGGGCAGCCTTAGCCACCCACGGCCTGGAGCCTGGGAGGACGAGGAGCGACGCCAGGCTACCCGCCTCGTCACAACTTGCCCAGACAAGACATACTTTATCTTGCACCCTGGAAGAAGGAGCCGGCCTGCCTCTCCCTGCTCGGCTGCTCCGAGAGCCCCGCCTCTGCGCCAGAAGCAATCCCGGGATCTGGGGGCCCCGGCGACGCCTCGTGGCTAGCAGCGCCCGGCTTTCGCCCAGGAGCGCGCAGCTGCGGTGAGTCGAGGTCTGGGATGCTCCAGGCGCCCGCCGGGCTTCTACAACACAGAGCATCTCTCGTGTCTGCTGGCGAAGTCGGGCCTTCTTCCCTCCTCTGCCTGCTGAGATCCGCAACGCTGCGGATCCGCCGCGGCCGTCGGCCTCCAACCATCCTTTGCCTTCTAGGACTCGGCTTTACGAACCTTTGTCTTTTCTGGTTCATGAGGCCTGATGCACAGCGCGGTGTGCCCAAAACAGTAGTCGCCGCACGGGGCTGGGAACCCAGCCTGGGATGGGGAGCAGGGAGCGAGGTGGGGGTGGGGGACAGGGAAGTATGCCCCCTGCCTTCCTGTTCCGGCCATCTTGTGGTCGAGATTCGACCTAGGGGGCTAAGGATGGCTAACCGCAGACGCCCTGAGCTCCTGTGGTGACAGCCAAGAGGGTAGCTTGGGGCTGCCCTCATCCCTGTGGGGTATGCAGGGGGAGCGGGCGACCTTCTCCCGCGTTAAGCTAGAGATCTTTGGAACGCAACAAAGGTCCATCCTTTTAACTGGCCAAAGGGGAAAAAATTGGGAGGGATATGGGCCCAACCAAGCACCTAACTCACTTAGCCGTTTTTTGTTTGGTTGGTTAGTTGATTTTGTTTTTGGCTTTTTAAATTTATTTTTTAATCCTAGCACATTCCGAATGCCCTTTCCTTTCCCTCGCTACACTAGGTGCTGGGAACAGCGGTGAGCAACACACCTCTCTTATTCCCGCTGATCCCGCCAGCCCAGTGGATGGAGCCCAGAATCCACAAACCTGCCAGGTCGGTGTCCCAGAGCTTCAATAGCTGAGGAAACTGAGGGCCAGGGTCAACAGATGTGTTCTGTACATAGAAGAACCTATCTTTAAAGTATATGTGCTTCCGGCTTTTATGATAGGTTCCGGTAAAATCTGGTTTTCATACAGCCCCAGAATCTTGTGACTGCATGGCTTATATATATCAAGTGTGTGTTTCATTTCCTGGACACTTTGCTGTGGGTTTACTTATACGGAAAGTGTTCAAAATAGTTGGTTACAACTTACCGTCGGGTTAGTTATTGTGAATTGTATTTTCCTTTTTTTCTGTTCGTGTATTTGGTTGTTAGGAAAGAAAAAAAAATTCCTGATGGTTGGTCCAAGCAGGGCCTCCCTGGTGGATTGAGGAGGAATGCCTGGCTTTTCCTCAGCGCCTTGATCTCCGAGGGAACCACTGGCAGCCTCCAGAAGACCCCCACGATGAGAGGCCTGGGGTCCGCAGGTCACTGCTAGAACTGTTTAAAGAATGCAGCAACAGCACGAGTCTGTAAGGTAAATCCCAGAGCCCGGTTGCCTTGGTAGAACGCTGACGGTTGACGTTCGCATCCTTCTTTTTAAGTTCAACATTTTGAGAAATGCTTTTGGGATGACAAACTATTGCATACATTGGGCTAGTTATTTGGTTTGCATTTTAACAAGATGTCAAAGTTAAGCTGCCAATCCACAGAGGGAGAACAATCCGTCTAAAAAGTATATTTAAAGCAAGACAAATTTTAAAAGGCCGATAAGCTTAACTCTGTTGTGGTGTAATATAAAAAAAGACACTCTTAATTTTAAATGTACAATTTTGGTAAACGTATACATCCAGATAACACCGTAGCCAACATGCAGAATGTCCTATCCCAAATTTCCCTCCCGCCCTTATGCTCTCAATTAACTGTTGCCTCACATTCCCCAAATGTGTGGGAAAGGTGTGTGTGTATTTCAGATCTCAAAACCTAACGCTAGCATAGGGGTGGAGAACTAGAAGACCACAGTTAGGAGTTCAAAATTCAGGAGACGTGACCCCACGCATGTTTCAGAGGCTTTCTGGGTCCTGTCTTTTGAGACCAAGGAGGGTGGTGTCAGGGGAGGTGGCAGCCGACAGATGCCCGCTCCCGGAAGATGAGGAGTGTGGTTCTCCGGCTAGTCCAAGAGGTCTCTTGTCCTTCTGGTCCCGCAGGTCCCTGAGCGCATGCTGAACGCGCGTGGGCGGATACGCCTAGTGCTCCAGGTCCGGGCTGGGCGCTGCCATAGCAACGTCCTGGACGCCCAGATCTTAGGCTGCCGCCGCCGCCGCAGCAGGGGTCTGGGCCTTCGGCGGGCTCACGAGGGGAGTGGCGGCGGCGGCCCCGAGGCGGCCCGGGCCGGTAGAGTACACTGCCCCGCCCCTGCAGCGCAAGCTTAGGCGGTGGACTGGCTTGCAAGCATGGTAAGATGCGCGAGGCCAGAGGTGCTTGTCCGGGATGCAGGGCGGGGACGGTGGGGTTCGCTGGGACTCTCAAGCTCTCCTGCCTCCTGCCGCGCTCTCTTCCTCCGCAGCCCTTCCAGAAGCACGTCTATTACCCTCTGGCCAACAGCCCCGAGGGGCCCGACGCCTCTTCCCCAGGCGCGGCCCCCATGGCCTTTGTCCCCCCCAGAGCGGCCTCGGGCCCCCTGCCCTTCTTCCAGTTTCGGCCGAGACTGGAGAGCGTGGACTGGAGGCGGCTGAGCGCCATCGACGTGGACAAGGTGGCCGGCGCTGTGGACGTCCTGACGCTGCAGGAGAACATCATGAATATCACCTTCTGCAAGCTGGAGGACGAGAAGTGCCCACACTGCCAGTCGGGGGTAGACCCTGTGCTGCTGAAGCTGATTCGCCTGGCGCAGCTCACCATTGAATACCTAATGCATTCGCAGGAGTTCCTCACCTCGCAGCTAAACCTGGTGGAGGAGAGGCTGCGCCTGAGCCTGATCGACTACGAGCAGAGTAAGCAGCTGCTCACCAAGCAGGCTGGCGAGATCAAACTACTTAAGGACGAGTGTAAACGCAGGAAGAAGATGCTGTCCACACAGCAGCTCATGATAGAGGCCAAAGCCAGCTATTACCAGGTAGGAATCTGCGCCGCCGGACCAGTTCACTTTAGGAGCCCGACTTCTCCATTCTTCCCAGAGATTTGTTCTTCAGAGAAAACAGATCTAACCAAAAACACTCGTTTTAATCAACAGAGAAAATGTTTCATTACCTTATGTAGCCACCAAGGAATTGATAATCAAGTATCTACTATTGCCTGCATAACTTACGATATTGTCCAAATATAGGTTGTTGAACCTGTTTCCTCCTTTACAATAGATGTGAAAAAAATCAGTTGTGTACAAATTGCTATTGAGGTTGGCCCCCAAAGGATCTGAAATATGATTCAACATGTGAGGGTCCCACCCCCCCTTTTTTTTTTAATTTAAAGTGTTTCCCAAATGACAGAGAAGTCCCAAAGTAAAACCAACAACCTTAGTGGGTCCATCAGCCAGGCCCCCATTACCTACATTTGCCACGCTTCTGTTTCTCCTCTGTCTGTGTTTTGTTCCTTCGTAAGAGCTGTCTCCCGATGAGTTAGAGACTCCTGACGTATTAATGTGTGCGGTTGCCAAGGGCAAGAATACTAAGATTAGCATGTAAAGAATTAAACACCTTTGAATCTAAATCATAATCTCTGTTCAAATTAGATGTTGAACTCGGGATAAATACTGCAGTTTTGAAATCAGGGTATGGGTTGAGTAACTCTTGCTTTGAACTGCTTAGGACCAGACATCTTTTGAAATTTGGAATATATGTATTCACCTAATGAGGTATCTTGGGGCTGGGACTCAAATCTAAATATGTGTTTCTGTGTATGTGCCTGTGTGATCATGTGAAGGTGTCCAAGGAGGCCGGAAAGTGTTCGAGCTCTTGGGACTGGAGTTACAAGTGGTTTGTGAGCCGCCTGATGTGGATGCTGAGACTCTCGCCTGGGTCCTCTGCAAGAACAGTAAAGGTTCTCCAGTCCACGAGACCCACATCTAAATAGATAATTAATTGATATTTTAAATACAGCTTACAGCGATGGCCTGGTGTTGGTTATTTTTGCTTTGCCTATGTTTTGACTGAGACCCATTGCGTAGAGTTGTGTGTGGAGTTTCATACGTGTGGGTAGATTGCTATGCTTTGGAGAATTTTGGATTTAAAGCTTTCAGATTAGGGAGGTTCAATTTGTGCTTCAGTGAAAGAAGGACCAACTCTGATTTTTTTTTTAAAAAAAATGGTTGACCTGTTAGTTGACAGAATTACTGTACTTTTGACACATGTGAGATGGTACTCTTTAAATGGCTTCAAGTGGTCTTCGGAAAATGGGAGCTGAAGTAGGCTTCAGTGCTGGAGATGTGGGTGAGTCGGGGGCTCGGACCACAGCCGTGAAGAGCAAACTTGTTGAAACTTCAGGTTATATTTTGGTCAGCAAAACAGTTTAGGGTAAGACACTTGATTTCGTTTGTCGTTAGACTTTAGGATACAGTTGGGAGTTTTTATTAATGAATTAAAATTAATTAATCTAATGCCTGAAAAATAATCCAACCTAGGGCTTTGTCCCATGTGTAGGTATCTAGCCCTCTAATGGAGCGTGGACAAACTACACCGCAGAAGAAAGGCGACTGTCTCTTTGCCAGTGTAGCATTGCCGCTGTAGCTAGCCTCAGGAGCCTGTTCCTTCTCCAAGCCGGAGTGCTGTAGGCTTGATCTTGTGCTGGTCTTATGCCGGCAGCCGTGGCTGCTGTGGGTTCATGAATGCAACGGCCTCATCGTTCTACATCTTGTCTACCAGACATTGTTTCTGAGGAATGTTCCTGACATCGGCTCTACAATCTTTCTGCTTTCTATTCCACACTTTGTGAGCTGTTGGCTATCTCCTGTCAAGTCCATGCCACCGTTGCATCACTGGCTGATCTTGTCAGGGTGGTTGCCATGATGACTTGCAGGAGTCACAGCTGGGTAACTCTGCTGATGGCTGTTCTCCCTCAGCAGGGTTCACAGCACCTTACGACACCATGAAAGCTAACCAGCAGGGGAGAAACTTCATGTTAACCAATGTGGTTTACCCATGTCCTGTAATCAAAGTGCAGGTCTTACAATCGTGTTCTAGTAGGTAACCAGGAGCACTGGTAACATGCTGTCTTGTTTCTGGGGTTTCTGGGACCCCCGCAGCAACCCTAGAGGGTATTCTCACGCCTGTCACTGGGTTTTCATTTGGTCACCTAAGGCTTCTTGGAGGGGCATTATCCTTCTGTGTAGGATAACTAGATAAACATCAGCGGTAGAATGGACAATGACCCTGTGCTACCACATGTACACAATGGAGTTTTAGGTTCCAGTCAAGAAAAATAAAATTATGAACTTTGTAGATAAATTGATCAGTATAATTTTATTTTAGTAGTCCAGACCCAGAAGAATAAATACAAATTCTTTCTCATATGTGGATCATAAAATTGAGTCTTAGATTTGTGTGTTTATGGTGGGGTACCGGTAGAAGTCAGGAAACTAGAAAGAGAGGCCGTTGGGAGAGGAGAGGAAAGTGAGGAGCGTAGTGTAGTAGAACACAGGTAGTGTGGTGGGCACGGAAAAGGAAGGGTACGTGGGGAGAGGCATGGGAGGGAAAGCAGGATGCGGGGGAGATAACACCAAGGGGGTTTGAAAAAAATCACATGGAAACCTACTAATTTATAAGTTCCCCAATGTGTGTATACACTTACACACACACACACACACACACTTAATTTTTTCAATTAGAGAAGATTCATTTATTGGCCAAGCACTCCTCATGGCCTTCCCCTGCCTGCCAGGATTGTGATACTCTTGGAGATTCTGATTCCCGAGGTGTGGAGTGAGAAATGCCCCTTGTTAGGGAACAGCCACACCTTTCTGATGCTGCTGGCTTGGGGGAGGAGTCAACAGACTCAGAATCCTGCTGGGCAAAGTGAGTCAAATGACTCTGTCTGTCCTCAGGCTTCACAGGGAAACGTGGCTCCAGGTGGACTGAGCTTTCTCTCTGTCTCTCCCTCCTTCCCACCTCCTCTCCCTCTCTCCCTCACAGTCTACCACACCTTCAATGTCAGATAAACGCGTTGAGGGCTGGTTGCGTGTTCAGACTGTAAGAAATTCCATGACGTAGAAAAACGCAGTTGGGTCTTAGACATAACCAAGAGTGCGGGAGTCATTTCTCTACTGGTGGTTATGCTCTATCCTGTGGCCTCTTTCGTGCGGCCTGGCTGACAGAGTGCGTCCAGGTCACATGCCTCTGCTCACACAGAGAGAACAGCAATGGAGACGCTTTCTAGGGAATGAATAGGTTCAAATCCCAAACGGATTTGTCTTTGGGCCACCAACTCACAAAATATGATGGGGAGACATTAATTATGAAAGCTCAACTTACAGTTTAGGCTTGTCCTACTAGCTCTTTTAACTTAACCCCATCTTTTAAATCTCTTCTTTTATGTGCCTCGGTTGCCTTTACTCTGTCCTCTCCATCCTGCTTCCTCTCTGTCTTGCAGCTCCACTTCTCCCCAGAGCTCTTTCTGTCCAGAAGTCCCGCCTATACCTCCTGCCTAGCTATTGGTCATTTGACTTTTTATTAAACCAGTCACAGTGAGACACCTTCACACAGTGTAAAGTAATATTCCACAGCACGCCTCTACTACTGTTGCAACTGCTAGACCTTAGCAAATCGCTCAGCTCCTATGTACATAAATGTCTGCTCTGTGGAACGGGAAGGTTGTCCCCGCATCATAACCAATAGCTGATGGCGCTTGTGTGGCCATTCTTAACATATAGCTAAATTGTTGAGAGGTAGGGAAGCCGCATAGCCGACAAACAAACACCATAGCTGATTTTACAAGATGAGGGAAGTCACGTGACTTCCAGCATATTGATGTTTCCTTACCTCTGCAGACAAAGTCCAGAAGCCCTGGGCATCTTGCAAAAAAAATGTAATGCGTGCTAGGGTTTTGCTGTATTTCCATTTTCTATGTTGGGGAAACTTTAAGATTAAACAAAAAGATTTTTTTATATAAAATTTTTTAACTTTGAGAAGTTCATAACTTTTTTTTTATCATATTCACCTCCAGCTCCTGCCAGATCTGTCCCCACCAACTTCATGTCCTCTGTAAAATAGCAAAAAAAAAAAAAAAAACTATGGTGTCCAGTTTGTCCTATCCGCATACTCTTGGGTGTGGGGTCATCCCCAGGAGTATGACCAATTCCCAGAGGCCATACTCTTATTTTTTTAAATAGTTTCCCTCCGTCCATTTCCAGAGGAAATACTGTGTCCTTGTATTCTCCCTCATGTCTGTTATACACCATGTACCTTTGAAAAGTCTTCAAAGATGTATGTATTCATAGGAGAGTGTTTGTAGGTTTCAGACACTCCAGACACATCTACAAACACGTCCACATATGTGTGTGTACCTGTATTAGCTACTAGGTCTGCCATGACAAATACCATTGATTAGATGGCTTAAGTAACGGAAACTTATTTTCATGGTGTTTGGAAGCTGGGACTCCTACATCAAGGTTTTAGCAGGGCTGGTGTCTGGTGTGGTCTCCCAGCCTACCATGAGCAAGTCAGTGGCAGAGGGTGGAAGTCGACGTAACAGAAACATGAGTAGGGCTTCCAGACGTTACCAGAGGAGATGCTTCAACCGTCAGAAGATGCATTTCCTTGACTTGTTTTAGCTTGGGAAGGGTGTTCTTACCTTACCTTTGCCCTTTGGGTTAGCGTCTCTAGCCAGCTTCTTTATCTTTTAGGAGAAGCTGCCAAGAGGCCATGCTTCGAGGTCCCTGGTTTTTACTGCAGGTAGCTGGAGAATCTCGCTGCAGACACTTGACTGTGTTGCTTTTTTTCCAGTGCCACTTCTGTGACAAGGCCTTCATGAACCAAGCTTTCCTACAGAGCCACATTCAGCGCCGCCACACCTCAGAGTCTCACCTTGGTAAGGCATGAACTCCGTCAGAGTTACCTTCCCTCTGCTGCCTTGTTCCTCTCTCAGTGAGTCGTGGTCCGGTGCATTTCTCAGTCCTTTTAAAAGAAAGTCTCACGGGCTGTAAATGAGTAAATGCAGTGAGTAGATGGTGAGCCCCCATGTGTAAGTTCTCAGTGCCCTGACGCCGAGGACACAGCGTGAGCACGCTGGAGAAATCCCACTTCGAGTCTTGCCGGCAAATGGAGAGCTAAAGTAACACTGGAACCAGGGCGCCGGCTTCCGAGTGCCAGATCCAAAGAACATATCCAAGGCTATGAAGGACAGAGACAGGGAGAATCATCCCAGGCGGTCTTTGGAGGCCTCTCTGAGGAGGCGATTTCTATCCAGAGAGCAGAGTCCTAAAGGAGTTGCGGTCTGGTGAGATCTAGGGACTAGAGCATCCGAGGTTCACGGACCACCGATAGTGGAGGCAGGAGGAGAGGCTGCACGGTGTGTCTAGAGAACAGGAGTGGGGTGAGTGAGGCCACGGCAGGTGGGGAGGCTGGAGGCTTGGGGGAACTGATCTCAGGAGGCGACGAAGGCCCTGGCCTATGGGTTTGGGGGTACAGTGGGAAGACGTGGGGTGACTCCTTCGTAGGGAGAATGATGACAGAGAGCATCCTAGCTGCAGGTGAATCGCCCGCAGGGGCAATAGTGCAGCTGGTAGAAGAGGGAGGAGGTGCCTAGAAGCTCACATGAGAAGAGGAGGAAGCCGAGACGGGCATGGTTGCAGGGCAGAGGGATAGAAGAACGTGCCGGACACAGGGCCTACGGTTATGACCGGGGGAGAAAGCAAGAGATGAAGCACAGACCTGCTCCTATTTAGGAGAACGCTTTCTGTGCTGGAGGGTGAGGGGTGGGAAGACGGTTCAAAGAAGGTGGAGGCAGGAGAGTTTGTGTTGGCCACACATACATTTGCATCACACGTGCAAGAGACACGCAAGTCACACAGCGGATGCTTGCAGATGGGGACCCGGGGTAGATAGAGGGATCTGGAAGGACCCTGGAGGACGGGGGCTGGTTGGAGCCTTCTAGTTAGAGGTCAGAAGACCCAAGGCCTCTGCTAGATCTCCCAACATTGTTCCTCAAGAAAGGCAGGTAGGACGGTCCTGTGAGGATGACCTATGGAGTGTGCTGTCTTGAACAGCAAGAGGAAAAGTGTTCCTAGAAGGTGGCAGAGCTCAAATACATCATTGTTCCTGAAGCAAAGAGTGGAATGCTGATGGGGAACTGACTGCTGCCACACAGTGGTTGGCCTTGGCATTGCAGGTCAGTCTTGAGTGTGTGCTGGGAAGAGAAGCAGGAGACCCAAGATAGCACCTTGACTGAACCATGGAGACAAGAGAAAATCATCTTATATTGGCATTAATGTGTCTGGGTGCTGATGGGAAGAAGCCAGAAAGCAGAGGTAGAAATCGGTAGCAATGAAGACAGAAATGGGAGAGGGTCCTGTGGAGAGGGCTCTCCAGTTCATCAAGGACTGGGTCTTCCCACTGTTCGAATGCTCTCAAAGCACGGCAGGTCTCCTCCTCCAGCAGGGCAGGCGTGTTTTCAATAGATGCCCTGGTTTCCTCCACTCGGGGCCAGTCTGTTTCTAGTCCTGCCTGCGGTGCTTTGTAGTCGAGGCAAAACAGAAAGCAGAAATTTCCATTAGAAACCACGGACTGCTGAGCGAGTAAGCGGTGTCTTTGGACGCAGGGGAATGTTGAACTCTTTTTCTCTTGGTTGTGAACTGACCTCTCTCTCTGTTTCAGTTTACTCTTGTTTCTCATACTTGTGTCAGAGGGCGTTTCAGGCTCTGAGATGAGTATTGTCTCTTCAGGTCATCTTTGAGGTTCTGACTTTCTGCTTTGGTTTCCATCCCTTTCATGTCTGCACCCACAGCACATGTAAACCCATTCAGTCATGTGTACATCCTCATGTAAGTACATGGACATCATAAAGTACTTCTCCCTTCATGCCTTGCTGCCTTGGACAACCTTTCAGTCCTTCGCTTTTGCCTTAGTTGAACAGATGACTACCCAAGTCCGCATCTTGAGTCCCCAGCCTCTATATGACCAATGACAGGGACTTCAGTACAGTTGGGAGGGAGCCCAGACGTTGTCGATGGTGTGGTACTTGCAGGCAAAGCCTTTGCTCCTCTGCTTTGAGTGGGATGGACTTGTCTGAAGAGTCCAGAGCCCTAGCGACCAGGACTGCTCCCCGAACAGCGTTCACACGCTGTCCCCGCGAATAAGCTGTAGTACAGTGAGTGGCTGACAGAAGTCACTAACGTTAATGAAATGTCTGGTCACATGAAGGGCTCCCGACTAGCACGGGACTGGGCTCATAGCATACACTAGGTAATAGTGATCCGAGCAGGAACATTTTATTCTGTCTTATCCACAGAGCTGTGCCCTGTAAGGTTTTAGGTGAGTTCACAAGAAACTAGGTTTTCCAGATTCTAACTAGACTTTCTGTCGCCACAGAGTATGATACAAAGGCCCAGACTGACAGGCTCCAGAAGGAGGTTGACATGTTGAAGGAACAGCTGCAGCTCACCAGGTCTCAACTGGAGTCTTCCCAGCATGCCCATGCAGTCCGGTTCTCTAAGGTAGGATGCGGAGTTCTCTACGGGAGATGATGCAACCACTAGGAGTTTAAAAGACGCAAGGACACGGGGATGCTGGCTTGTGTGTATGTGTGTGTGTGTGTGTGTGTGTGCATGTACATGTAGGCCAGGGCCCTTATTCCTTTGAGGTTTTTCACTGAACCTGGAGCAAGACTTGGATGCCCTCAAGCCTCAGCCATCCTCCTGTCCCTCACGTCCACAGCACTGGAGTTACAGCCTTATGTGTGGCCACCCTGGCTTCATAGGTGTGTGTTAGGGATTTGAACTCAGAACCTCACGCTTATGCAGCCAGCCCTGTTAACCTCCAAGCCATATCGTCAGTCTCCAAGTGTGGTTTCTGGTTTTGTTTTTTATTTACATGTATTTACTGAGAACGTATGTGAATGAGCATGTGGAAGCCAGAGGACAGATGCTGGACTTGGTTCTTTCCTTCCACCTCGTGAGTCTTGGGATCAAATTCAAGTTGTCAGGCTTGGCACCAAGTACCCTTACTCCGCGATCCGTCTCACTCGCCTGCACCCCAGCCGTGCTTCAATGAGGAAGGATCTCTGTGTATAGACCCCACTGTTTTAGGAAGAGTCTCCCGGTCTCCCTCAGAGAAGACAGACTGGAGCTCCCGTTGGTTTTAGAATATGCAGGTCTGTTTCGTCCCAGAGCCTTTAGTGACACATATGAAAATGATTCCAGGAATATGAAATGCAGAAGTCGAAAGAAGATGACTTCCTGAAGTTGTTTGAGAGGTGGAAAGAGGAGGAGCAGGAGAAGCTGCTCAATGAAATGGAAAAGGTCAAGGAGATGTTCATGAAGGAATTTAAAGAACTAACTTCTAAGAATTCGGCATTAGAATACGTGAGTATTGATCATAGACCTTCTCATAGTATCGCTCGCTTTCAGACAGTGCTAGCATGACATCGTGGCAGAGGGTCAGATATCTCATCCTGCCGAGTAGGCACGGCCCCTCCTTCCAGGGAGCCTGTGGCACGCAGGAGGCAGAGCGGGTGAACGGGATTGTTTTGTTATAGGGCAGTCCGTACAGGCTCTAGTACAGAACACTTGGGGATGCATTTGTTCAGCTCCAAGAAACTCTGTTCGTTCTTTATGTGGTTAGCTTTAAATAGCCTTAAACCACAAACCCTCCTCCAAATTCTAGAATGTTCCAAGTAGTGGGTGGAAAGGCCGACACAGATTACCAAAGTGGGGGGGGGGGCGGGTGTGCTTGCCTAGCCCGCTCCTCTCTCTGCACCTGTCCTATGAAGAGGATTTGGTCTCTACAGTGAGCAGGGTTATGGCAGGGGTCTCTGTGCCAGGTGGGAACGGACCTGTGTGATAGAATCACTTTCTGAAGGTCGGAACCTTCATCTTCAGGGCCTGGCCATGCAGCTCTTTCGCTCTGAAACCTCCTAGAGAAAGGGGAGGGCGCTGAGGGCGATCCTTGGGCTCCCTCTAGGGGCCGCACATCTTAGAAACAAAACTAATGGCTACCGTGGAACAAAGCCAAATCCTTTCTCGCCCAACACCGTGTGACAGTCGGTCACGTTGTCTCCTTGGGCTCTCCTTTGTCTGTTGCAGTGTTTCCTCCTATAGATGAGCCTGGTGGTTTACAGAAGCGCTGCTGGGGCTTTCTCCTGGCTAGTCTGAGGTCCTCTGGGCAGGGGCTTGGAGACCATGTGTCAGTTCATCACGCCGTGGTCCATAGGCACCCGTGGTCCTCACCATCTGTGGCTTTTCACTCTGCCTTACCGGCAGTGTTGGTGGGAACACGCTTCTGCACTGACAAACTCCTTTGCCTTTGAGTGGTTGCCGTGATCACACAGAGGGTAGACTCCCACCCTTCCATTTCCTGATGGTAACTTTATTGCCTCTTGCTGTCTGCACTGGTTTTTTTTTCTTTCTTCTTCTTCTTCTTTTTCTATTGTTAACGTTGAGAAAATTAGAAGTCTAGTCCTAGCGAGTTTCTTACTATGGTCCCCTGGATGGTTGACCTTTCATTACAGTCTTAGCTTCTTAGAACTAGCTGCCACGAGGGCGTGGTGATATACCCCAGGAGTCCTGCACTAAAGAGACTGAGACGGGCTCAGCAAGAGTTCAAAGCCAGCTTGAGCAGCAAAGCCAGATCTGCCTCAAAACAAACAAACAGAAAGAGACAGGTATACCCAGTTCCTCTCACAAATGTAGTGTTTTTGTTAAAAATGTAAAAACCCATTGTCAAAGGCCAGAAAGTTGGTTTGGGGCCAGAGAGGTAGCTCAGCGAGTAAAGCATTTGCTGCGTAAGACTGCTGACCCAGGTTTTGGGGGGATGGCTGACCCAAGCTCAGTCCCCCAAATCCACAGCTGTCCTCTGAGAGCCATGCACGCTGTGGCATGTCCTACCCCCCTCCAAGAGTAAACCATTTTTTAATAATGAGTTTAGTTTTTCCTTTCTGTTTTTAATCCTGTATGCACTCTAGAAAGAAACATCGAAGATGAGAGAGAGGTAGAAACAAGAGGAAGCATGGGACAGGCAGGAGAGCTGTGTGGGAGCGTTTGTTTGGAAGGGCATTCGAGTTGAACATGGCTTTGTGCTCGCGAGCTTTGTCACTATGTCAGTTAGATAAATGTGTAGCGTATCTACCGGTGACTCTTTTTCCCCATTTACAGCAATTGTTAGAAATACAGAAGTCCAATATGAAGTTCAAGTCCAACATCGGCTCCTTAAGAGACGCTCATGAGTGTAAGGAAGATCAACTCCCGAGTCCCCAGGAGCTCCAGAACATGCTTCAGCTCCTGGAAGGCCAGGTATGGCGCGGCCAGTTATGGCATGGCCTGATATGGCACGGCCAGGTATGGCGTGGCTGGTGACCGCAGGCACAGCTTACAACATTCACTTGGTTGCTTCTGCTTGCATCTGCACGAGGTTATTGTGCAGTGTGTATACAGGCCCGAAGGAGGGCACTGGATCCCAAGGAACTGGAGCCTCAGGTGGTCTTGATCCAGAAAGGGGACACTGAGCTCAGCAGACTGCAAGTGCAGTCAGCGCTCTTCACCAGTGTTTTTTCCTTAGTGAGTTTGTTCACACCAAATGTGTTTGTTTCGTTTATTCTTCCCTTGTATCTCGACACATGCCTAACTCAGAGTAGGTGTTGGTTCATAGGCGTGAATATAAAACAGCAGAAATTTTTCAGTTTTAACTAGGAAAATGTCAGTCCGAACTTGTGTCCTTAGTCAGTTCGCCTTGCTATTTAATGTCTTTCCTCTTTCGGGTGTAGATCTCGCTTTTTAAAAACTGCATATTGAAGCTTCAGACTTAGTTGACGTATAGCACTGCATTGGCAAACTGATACCTTTTGTGTATTTTATTCTCATTTGGAAGTCAGACTCCATAATCACTCTATAAAAGTTATTTTATCTCAGTGGTTTATGGAAAGCTATTAAAAATTAAAAAGGGTAAGGATCTAGGTAAGTGGTACAGCCTGTGTGAGGTCTCATATTCAATGTCCACTCTGTGTTGGGGGGAGTTATAACCTATGAATTCTATAATAATAATTTTAAAAGCCTTCGAGTCACTGAGCCTACTCACAGGGTAAAGGTTTTTGCCAACCAAGCTTGATGACCTAGGTTCAACCCCCGGGACCCACTTGGGAAAGGAATAAACCGACTCTCATTGGTTGTCTTCAGACCTTCACATGTGTGCAGTATCGATGCTTGACCTTGCATGTACACATACAGGCGCATACATGTACACACAGAGATGCATACATGTACCCACACAGATACATACATGTACACACACAGATGCATACATGTACGCACAACAAATAAACATAATAAAACTTTAAGATAAACCTATGAAATTTTTAAATGGTAAGAGCATTTTGAAATCTGATTACCATTTCTTGTTTTGATGCTACATCATGTCTGCCTCCCTTAAATGTACCTTCTTCATCACAGCTGGCTGTGCATGTCATCCTGCCTGCCTTTAACCTTTCGGTGACACCACCTCCCTGCGTCCCCCGCGTCCTGCCCCGGCTAGCTACAAGGCCTTGTCCCACCGGACTTTAAAATTTGCAGTGATGATCTTCCCTCTGCCCCAGGGTCCTCTTTCTACAACAGTGGTTCTCAGCCTGGGGGTTGCAAGCCCTTGGGTTGCAAGCGACCCTTTCGCAGGGGCCGCCTAAGACCATCAGCATATCAGACGATTACATTATGATTCATAGCAGTATCAGAACTACAGTTATGAAGTAGCCATGGAAATCATTTTATGGCTGGGAGCCGCCACCGCACGAGGAACTGTGTTAAAGGGTCGCAGCCTTAGGAAGGTTGAGAACCTCTGCTCTAGACCATGACTCCCCGTTCCCCACCATGGCCCTGCTGCCCCTTTCTGCTGGCTGGGACCTTCTGCTTTTAAGATCTGCCTCACATTTATCCCCCAGGATCACTGGAACACTACTCACAGGGTTTTCCCGAGTCTCCTCTAGACTCTAGTGTTTGTTTGACCAGAACTTAGTTATACACATTCAACAGGAGCTCCGGCATCACCGTGTCCACCCCTTCCTTGCCCATACAGAGCTGGGGGTGTCCTTCAAATCCTCCACGTTGCCAGTGGTTGCTCAGCCAGTTCCTGAGCATGCGTAGAAAACTGGAAGATGGCCTACTCTGTTGACCTTTGCTTTTCACTGATATACTGTCTTCCATGAGCTGACTTGCCTGTCAGTAAGACCCAGAAACCTTAGTGCTTTGCCCCCTGCTCCCCAGTCATTGGAGAGGAAAGGACCTCAATTGAGAAAATGCCTCATAAGATCCAGCTGTAGACAAACTGTAGGAGTTTGTCTTAATTTGTGATCATGGGCGGAGTGGGGGCTCCAGCCCGTGGTGGGTAGTGCCATCCCTGGGCAGGCAGTCCTGGTTCTATAAGAATGCAGGTTGAGCAAGCCATTGGGGAGCAAGCCAGTGAGCAGCATTGCTTCACGGCCTCTGCATCAGCTGCTACAGACGAACCATTCTTTTCTCTCCTCCAGGCGAGCAAGTGGACAGATCGATTTCAAGTTCTTAGTGAGGATCACGGCCAGGAGAAGGGAAAGGTAAGACTGAGAATCCAGGAGCCCCATCTGGTCAGCTCCCCATCCCGTCTCTCCAGGGATGAGAATCCAGGAGCCCCGTCTGGTCAGCTCCTCTGCCCCTGTCTCTCCTGCTGAGGATGGAATCAGGGCCTCAAGCATGCCTAGGCACATCACACACATGCACACGTTGGCCATTTTGAAAAGAATTTCTAGTTAACTCAATAATGTAGTATTTTCCTACTTAACATTTCTGGAGAAATGTGTAAAAAAAATACCTAGAATTATTTATAACTTTAATACAAAATTAACCACTGCTACTCCTTTGTAAGCTTCTCTTCAATTTTCTCTCTATATTATAAGTGCTGCATGTCTCTTTGCAAGCGATTTTCTTTGGCCTTTGAGACTCTCACACACAGATCCAGTGTATTTTGACCTCACTCATCCCTGACTCCACCCCCAGCTCATTCTGGTCGCGGGCTTCACCACTGTGTCCCCTCCTCCTCCTCACTTCATGTCTCCTTTCTATAGTCTGTTCCAAAAACAATCCACTGACTCCAGTTAGTGTTGCCCGTATGCACACGGTTCTAGGGCCACCCCCTGGGCACGCGCACCCTCCCGGGGCCACACCGTTGATGAGAAGTGGCTCTGTCCCTTCCAGCAGCCACTGGTTGCCAGCAGCTCCTCCGCTCCAGATGGGGCTTCATGAGCTTATCCCCTGGCCACGCTGGATCGTTGACTGGCTTTATCTAACACAGGCAATCAGAGCCTCCCTGAGTTCCTGAGTGCAACCGCTTTGTCATCGCTAGGTGACTCTGGAGCCTGGCCCCCTTTCTAAGTCCAGACTCGGAGAAACTTCCTTCTTCATTTCTTTGCTTCTTTGCTCCTTCTCTTAAGCTCTGTGCCCTTCACCCCGTGACCACTTGCAAATGGCATAGTTTTCCCTTCTTTCCATCTTTCCCCTCCAGGCTGCTGCCAAAACTTCAGCTCGCCTGACATGCTGGTATTCTCTTAAACACTAATAAAAGTGTCCTCAAGCTTTCTTCTGAGTATGCTTTTAGATTCTTTTATTAACTAGGCTAAACCCAAAGAGGACACCAATTTCCTGGGGAATACATCATGTCCAGCTGTTTTATAGACGGGGCCTCCCATCTCTGGCTCTTAACGTTCTTCCTCCGCTCTCTTCTCTGAGCCTTGGGTAGTGTGCGGGTGGGTGGGTGGGGGGCAAATGTCCTGTTTATGGATGAATAGCCCACAATCGCTTATCCTCTTTGATGAGTTGTGAATCTTTGTATTAACCACGGTCCACTGCAAAGAGAAGCATTTCTAGTGAGGGTGGAGAGCCATGACAACCTACAGGTATAAAGAAGGTATGTAGAAGCATTTGATACCGTGCCCTCAGCAAAACGCTAGGAGCAGGTTTTCCAGCCACAGTTTCTTGGCCTGCTTTCCAGTACCAAGCAGGAGTTCCTTCCTGTGGAGCAGGCCTTTAAGCTGATCATGACGCCCATGCCACGATTGCCCCATGTGCTTCTCTACGGGCTACGTTCCCAGAACTCTAGACCCCCACATACAGATAGACCCTTACAAAATGTGCATTGCTCTTTCTAGATAACGGATGCTTTGTGCTTAAAAGATACAGTCCAGCGTCATTTTATTGCTGGGAGATGATCTTAGGTGTCTCATGTGTTCATCATTTCTGTTATTGAATTGATACATCTGAGTTTTTTCACGTTTCTGAGCTGGGACATAAAGAAAAGACTGTTAACATTAAGAACCTAATGAAAACAACACGTTAATGTAAAAGTGATTCCCTGATTCCTGTTCACTGAGTATAGCATTGTTATAACAATTCATTGTTAATGTTTCCCCCGGGACAAAGTACCTAAAGTAGATGTATTTGAGAATATCTTAAGATAGGAAATCTTGTTTTTTTAAAATAATATTATCTTTTGTGCCCTCTGTATTGCTAACAGATCTTTTCCGCACAGAGTATCTTGTTTCCTCATCCACATATTTCCTAAAATAATGTCCCTTCATGTAGTTAGTACTAAATACTCCTTTCATAGAGTACTAAGCAGAATATCATATAACTAAAGATTATATGGTCATGTGTATATGTGTGTGTGCGTACGCATGTTCACATCCCATGTGGTCCTGTGTGCACTGTGTGTGGGGGCACAGGTTGATATTGAGGATGTCTTCCCCATTCACTTTCCAGTTTATTTCCTGACAGGATCTCTTGCTGAGCCTGGAGTTTGATGATGTGGGGGTTTGTCTGGCCCATTGGCTCGCTCCAGGGATTCAGGGTCATCACTTCCCAAGAACAGCAGCCTGATCTGAACTCTGGCCCTCATGCCAGTGTTCATGTACTTTATCCACTGATTTTTCTAGACTCGTCCTGGTCTCTTTTTTGTTTTTTAAGACAGGGTTTCTCTATGTAACAGCCCTAGTTGTCCCAGAACTAGCTCTGTAGACCAGGCTGTAGACCTCGAACTCACAGAGATCCGCCTGCCTCTGCCTCCCGAGTGCTGGGATTAAAGGCGTGCGCCACCACCGCCCGGCTCTGCTCTTGTTGCGAACATATGGGGAAGCCTCTCCATTTGTTCTTTTCATGGCTGCTTCCCTTTTCTGTCGGTTTTCTACTCGCTGTGGCAGCCTGTTACAAATGCAGCCTTAAATGATCCACATTAGTCATCTCACACTTTCTGTGGGACAGGAGTCGGAGGCACGACAAGCTGTACTCAGAACATTGCCTAAGCTGTGTTCTCCTTCAGAGCGCCTATGGCTAGCCTGGGTTAGCTTCTGGAAGCTGCCCTGGTCCACTAAAGTCCCTGACGTGGTCATTGGCCCGTGGGAGTGTCACTCAAGCCCTCTGGTGTTGAATTAGGAGTGGCGGCAGGGCTGCGTCCCCGGCACCCGGCCGCCCACATGGCTAGCTTATGTCCAGAAATAATTACACGGAAACTGTATTCTTTCAAACACTGCCTGGCCCGGCTAGTTCCAGCTTCTTATTGGCTAGCTCTTACATATTGTTCTAACCCATTTCTAATATTCTGTGTAGCCCACGAGCTGGTTTACCAAGGAGGATCTTAACCTGCGTCTGTCTGGAGCAGGAGAATCATGGCGACTCTTCGACTAAGCTTCTTTCTCCCAGAATTCTCTTATGTCTACTCCGCCTACCTAATTTTCTGTCCTATGAGGGCCGAGGCAGTTTCTTTATTATAATTAACCAATGTCCTTCCCCCATCATTTCCCCTTTTTTTCTGTTTAAACAAAAAAAAGAAGGCTTTAACTTAACATAGCAAAATTACATATAACAAAACAGTTATCAAGTAAGAATTACAGTTACAATATTTATATCTATTTTATCTCATCATAACTAAGGAAAACTATAACTATCTATTCATTCTTCAACTCCATCAAAGACTCCAGAAGGATATAATAATATTACCTAAGCAAATAAGAAATAAATGACAGAGACATCTTGCTGCCTGGACAGTCACCCAAAGTTCTTTTGTACCGTTGGGGCATCCATCTTTGGCCTACAGGCCCATAGTTTCCAGCAGACACCTCCACGAAGCAGGAAATTCCAAAGACAGTTCAGTCACTTTCTGCTGTGTCCTGCAGAATGTCTCGCAGACTCTTTCATGAAGCAGGAACCCCGAAAGATCACCTCACCTTTAGGCAAGTTCAGCAGTCCTCTCTCTGCGGGTTCTCTGTGTCCAGTTTATGCAATAGTCCAGGCAAGAGCAGTTTCTTGCCCAAATGGCTATCCAACTCCATAAGGATCCTCTTCGATGCCCATCTTCCTTTTGAAGTAGATTGGTGCTGCCAGGAGCAGACGTGTCTCATTGTCATGAAAAGCCCTAAATTATTAAAACATTTAAAATGCCATATTCTGCAGTCTTTGAAAGATATGAAGAATGCCTAATTGAAATATATCTCTATATATCTAGAAAATCTAATTAACATGACTACAAGCTTAACTATTAGCGATGATTATCCATTAACAACCTTTATTTCCTAATTATACATTACATTTTTAAATGAACTACACATTCACAATACCTTAATCAAGATCAAAAATACATATACATATAACAAAATTGACCTTAAAATCCATACCAATGCAAATTATTCATATCTATATCATATCCCCCTTTAAATGTAAAAGAACATTTATAAACAATATTTGGGAACATGGGTGTAGTTTTTTCTCTCCAAACTGCTTCCTGCTGAATATAGGGGCGTCATTAATTAGGTCTTTCATGGTATAACCTGTGTGCCAGGGTCATCTCAGTTGGCAGTTGAGTGAAGTAATTTTTTGAGGGTGTTCACAGCAACCTTTCAGGAGGACGTGGTCTATCATACCATACTGGGATAGATGCAATCCACAGGGTCACATCCTCTGTGAAAACAAAAGAAGGACTTTTCCAAAGCATCATAACCTTAGATCCAAATTCTGAAGTCAAGATACCTTTAGAACATATGTGCAGGTTCAGCTTAGCAGCCCATATAATGAAATGTCTCTCTGTACTTAGCTCCTTCACAGTCAAAAATTTTAAAGAAAACACAATGTACATAATCCAGACTCTCTGTGAATTTTCCATTTTTACGTGGCTTATTTTTCTTTATTTCTCTTAATCTATAACTATCTGTACTTCTGTACTCTGTCTCTTTAAAGACTTTACCCTTTTTCTTTTTAAGACATTAACTTTATTTTTTATATTCTTTTTCTTCTCTCTCCCAAGCCTACGTACATTCATCCAACAGTGTCTGAATCTGTTTTACTGTGAATCTGTAATTTTTTTACTATCCAGGAGCATTTTTTAAAATGTTAAGCACTTCTTAAAAACTTAAGTTGCACCATGTACAGGTAATACGGTACTGCCTGTGTCCTGCCCAGTCTAAACCTTAACTGCGCTGTTATCATGGCAATTACGGTAGTTGCTGCCTGAGGTCAGCACAGTTCAGCATGGAGCAGCCACTCCTGCCTCAGATCCATTTGGTGCCCCTGAACCATTCACAGTTCCAGGCACACAGCAGTCCACATTGGAGCCGCACTCAGCAGTTTAACTCCGAGACTGAGCGTGCAGCACAGAAACTCTTTTCATCCAAGTTACAGCCAAATCTGACACGCAGAGCACTGCGCAGTCTGAAAATGCGTCTCTGTATGGCGGCAGGAATCCACCATGCTCTTCCGCCTGCCCAAGCCTGATTCTGCCTTCTGCCCAGGTGCAGGCGGGGAGCGCTGAGCCATCAGCAGCACAGTCTCAGAGCACTCTCCTCAGATCCCAAGCGGGAACACAAACATCCAGTCCCATAAAAGCCTTGAAATGCTTTAAAGCCAGAGTTCACGCTGGCAGCCCCAGGAAGCCGCGCAGCTTTAAAATGACGCAGCTTTTTTTCTGCTGCTGTTGCTGAATCAGGAAATTTCTCTACAGCACGCCACCAGCAAACAGCAAAAATCTCTGTTAAACTCTCTCTCCCTATTTTTAAGCCTTCTCAGGTTTTTAAGTGGATTTAGCCCATCACGTCTGGGCGCCATCTGTTGAAATAGGAGCTGCGGGGCTGCGTCCCCGGCAACTGTCCTATGAGGGCTGAGGCAGTTTCTTTATTATAATTAACCAATGTCCTTCCCCCATCACTCTGGGCATGTCACTCCTTGTTTTCTTCCTCCTCTGTGGAGAGGGCTCAGGAACAAGACAGCTGAAAGTCAGCAATGTGGGTTCACAGCCTGTGATCTTCTTCCCTTTCGCTGCCTTCTGCTAGGAGCTCATCCCGGCGGTCGCCTCTAAACCTAAGGCTGGCTTGTGCACAGTCTGGGTGCACAGCCTCCTGCCCAGCCAGGATAGGCTGCTCCTTCGCTGCTTCAGCTGTTTAGGAGCTGCTTGCTTCTCTGTCTCACACCCTACCAGAGAGGTGAATTCAGTCACATGCAGTCATCTCTGCCTGAGACCTATTATTCCCCATGATTGGCGCCTGCTCTTCCCACAATGCGGGGACTGTTTCTCTGGTTAGGGGAAGTTGCCTGTGCCAACTTGATATTGCTTTTCCTAGGCTCTTGGCAGTCTGTCTTCCTTTTAAATAACATTGGTAGGAGTTCAAAGGGAGTCACGGATAATCCGTGGTGTGACCTTTCTGACCCTGCCTGAGAGCCCAGGAGGTGTGTTATGGTCACATGTGGTGACAGAGAAGGCTGTTGTTAGGAGTGAGGCTATAGAGGATAGCAGAGGGCTTGAAATCCACTTGTGCGTGCATGCACACACACACCAAACACACACACACACACACAGAGGCTTCGTGAGGTGATGTCTGTCTGACCGTCTTGTCTAAGCGCTTCAAATCCCCCTCTCACCGTATTCTTGTTTTTACCTTTGTAACCCATTCTTTACTGTGGTGTCACAATAATACCACCTCCTGATTTTTTTCCTGGAGTCTCTTGCTTCTTGGGGGCCAGCCCTCCTCAATTTGGCGATCTGGTCCAAGGTCCTAAACCTCTATCCAAAATCCTGAGCCATTTTACTAGAATTTCTTTCTGATTTCTAGCTAGGCCTTTCTCAGATGGCTTTTGGGGATGATGGGGTCATGCCCTTTCAACCATCTAGAACTGTGGAGAGAGTTTGTTTTTGATTTGTCTTGAGACAGGGTCTCACTAAGTAACCCTGGCTGTTTTAAAGTCAAAAGTAGATGAAGCTGGCTTTGAAGTTGCTGCACACCGCGTCCCCGTGTCTGCGCTCTTTGCGCTGGCACCCAGTTCGTGAGCTTCGGGCAAGGGGGCTGGAGGTTAAAATACACAGACACACAGAGAGAGACAGAGACACCGGTCATCCTTGAATTCCCAAGAATGCTCCTTTATTGTGGTCAGGGGCAGATTATATAGAGATAGCCACGCCCCAGCCAAACCCACCAGAAACCACTCTCCTGCCATCAGTAACTCCTGAAGGTCTCGTGCTCAGAGCAGCTGTAGGCACTCAGATCAGGGGATTACAAGAAATTCAGGATCTGGGGTCTCACTGCTCCCAAAAGAAGTCACAGAAATCCGCCTGCCTCCTGCCTTCCATGTGCTTGACACTTTCTCTCTTGACACTTGGTTCTTGGGGGATTCTTAGAATACACCACGGTCTGAGGGGTTCTTTTCTGGCCTCCCACAAACTTCAGCTCAGTGTTTCCACGTGCACTTTCGGGAACACAGAGAACTTGACAGGCAAGACCTTGCCACGCGTGGAGCCCTGACTCTGAAGCCAAATGTGGATGTTCAAGGCCAGCTTTGCCCATCCCCGCTCTCTGAATTCGAGTCATGCATGTTGTCCTCTGAGACCTGAGTTTCCACATTGTGCTGTGAACCTAGATTGCATTTCTGTAGCATCACCGGAGTAAACAAGACACGGGAATGTGTAGCATCATAGTAAGTGTTGACTTGAAAATGCACAACCAGACAGAGGGACGGCTCATTGGTCAAAAGCACACGTGGTTCTTCCGGAGGACCCAAGTTCAGTTTTCCTGTATCAGGTGAATCACCACGCCCGATGCCCAGCTCTGGGCATTCCTAGCCTCTTTAGGTCTCTACACTCACGTGCTCAGGCAGACACATATACACATAGTTAAAAATAGATCTTTCAAGAAACCAAACAAGTGCATTAGAAAATGCCCATCTGGACCCTCGGATCCTCTCTTCAGACAAAGATGTTTCCCTCAGTGTGATCAGCCCCACCCTCTCTCTCCACATCGGGTGTCAGATGCACAGTGTCCCGAGTACCAGCCACCAAGCTGGGTTTTGTTTCGTTTTGTTTTCCTTTACCCCTTCTGTTCTGCCAACCACTGAAATGGCTTGAATTACCAGTGTATAATCTCCCCCGGTGTTATGTTTCTATGCCAGTTTATGGGCGAGTGTGGTGAAATGCCTGGCAAATGCCACTTGAGGAAGGGCTTACTCAGGTCCACACTTGGAGGATGCAGCCTGCCACGCTGGGAACGGATGGAGGCAGGAGCTTCAGGCGGCCGACTGTGTTAGACCTGACTGTCGGGAACGGGAGGACTGACACTGTTTGGCTCCCCTTCCACTTCTTACTCAGTTCGGGTCCCATACAATGGCGCCCACCTTCAAGGTGGGTCTTCCCACTGCAGTGAACTCCGTTGGGAAAATCCTTCACAGACAGGCTTAGAAGCTCATTTCTGTGGGAACTCTAAATCCCATTAAGCTGGCAGGATTGCCATCATGTGGGCTGAGGGGTTGGCTCTGCAGTTAAAGAGCTTGCCACGCAAACAAGAGGATATAGGAGTTCGGGACCCCAGAGCCTGCAAAAATGCTTAGTTGACGTGGCGGCACACCTGTAATTTCCACCTCGGAAGGCCTCAGGTTAGCCATGTCAGTCAGGTCAGGGGTGGGTTGAGAGACTCTGCCTGAGTAAGATAAGGAATGATGGAGGAAGACACCAGTATCAACCTTGGACCTCCTTGTGGACATGGGCACACGTGTGTGTATTCTCACATGTGTGGGCACCCACATACATACACACACAGAGACCACACACTTATACAAGTGAAAAGAAAAAGAGATTGACCATCATGGTCTCTAGTGATGAATCTATGCACATTTTACCTCTCTCTGACTCAGTTGTTTTTTGGGGGGCTGCTGCTTGTTTCCTGGTCACCCAGCCTCCCAAAATAAACATACTGAAATCTGTATTAATTGAAACACTGTTTGCTCGGTAGCTTAAGTGTATTTCTGACTCTTTCTTTTTCTTTCTTTCTTTCTTTCTTTCTTTCTTTCTTTCTTTCTTTTCTGACTAGCTCTTATATCTTAAATTAACCCATCTCTATTAATCTGTGTATTGCCACGTGGCTGTGGCTAACCAGCAAGGTTCCGGTGCATCTGTCTCCTGCGTTTCTCACTGACTCTGCCTACTCTCTCTAGATATCTTTTCCAACCTGGCTATATTCTGTTAAGCCATTGGCCAGAAGCAGCTTCTGTATTAACCAATGGCAATAAAACATTCATCCAGCATCCAGAGGGGAATCCCACAACACTGACTCCTCCCTTCTCCCTCTATTCCTGAAGCTCCTACCTGTACCGGCCGTGATTATGCTGACTGCTGATCCATGATTGCCCAGTTGAGCTGGCATGTTGCATGTGGATATGAGGGCAGGGGACAGGGCTGTATGGAAAGTTCATCCTGGAGGTGAGACCAGGGTGCCAGGGAAGACCCTTGTCCTTGGTCCCCAAGCAGCTGTGCGTTAGTTAGTCCATGGAATGTGCTCACGTTGACCCAGCTGCCCACCTGAGCAGCTTTTTCTGTGTCAGACCATAAACCCCTGGGAAGAGATGAAGTCTGGCACAGCCAGGGCTTTGATGGGCATTGACTGAAGATTTTCTGTATGACTCAATGCACAGAAACCGCATAAAGCCAGTGGAGGAGTCAAGACAATCCCATAAAATCTGCAACCGTACTGCACCTTGCCAACAAATATCCTTCCCCATTGTCGTTGCAGCTCCTGTCACACATAGAAACGCTCCGGAGCTCGATGATAGAGGATCTCAGTGCAGATAATGTTTTCTACAAGCGGCGGGTGGAAGAGTTAGATCAGAAGCTCAAGGAACAGAATGAAGTGATTCTCAGTCAGAAGCAGCAGGTATGCCATGGAGGAGTCTGTGCTGAGCTCCTTGGTCTCGGAACAGAGGGCTTTAGTTTACACCATCTTGAAGATGATAGACGTGGACCATTTCCTCCTGTGATTGTCCCCAAAGCTACTTTAGACATAGAGATGCCTCAGACAGTATGTTTGAAGGTAGGTAAGATGTCTGCCCATGATCACTTGGAGAAATATCCAGATCTGATGTACTAAGTTTTTACAGCTCCGTCCTCTGTCAGGGAGCTCAGGGTGGGGTGATTTCGGTGGAAAGGTTAATTCACCCCCACTCATGTCCAGCTTCGCCCGGTCCCTCTCTCATTAAGAATATGAACTGCTAGCAGACTGTTTTATCTTCCGCAGATTAGAGAATTTGCCAGTAAACCATACAGCAGTGTTGGTGAGCCGAAAGGTAAGTGGACATGATCCCTGAGATCAAGCCAGAGTGGCTTGTCTGGCAGCTTTGGGTACAGAAAATCCGGGCCTGCTGATTTGTGTCTACTAAAGTAGCATTTGCTTGGTATTTTTCATTTGGGATATATGTCCTCATTTTAATATTTGAGAGATCTGTTGCCATAACCCAAAAAATTTGAAGAATTAAGAAAATCTAAACTCTCATTTAATATTTTATATACAACACAGCAAGCAGTTACGTGCACAGTGCTGCCTAGTGGTCATTTGCCTCTTTAAAAAATTTTTTTAATTGTGTGTAGAAGTGCTTTTGCCTGCATGCATGTATGTATGTGTACCATGTGCATGCAGGGCCAGTGTGGAGGCCAGAAGAGGTCATCAGATCTTCAGGAACTGGAGTGACAGATGGTTGTGAGCTGCCATGTGGGCGCTGGGAACTAAACCCAGGTCCTCTGCAAGAACAGCAAACACTCCTAACTGCTGAACCATCTTTCCAGTCCTGCCCTTTATCTCTTGATTTATACACAGATTTCAAACACTGGGCCCAGAAAGAGTTTGAGTCTCTGGCACGTACGTCTTTGTGAGTCTGTATTCAGTGTCTTCACCTCCAACTCTGGAAACGTAATAGTAGCTACACTAAATCTTTGATACACGGACTAAGTGGAATAACTCACCGGCTGACACCAGTAATACACCTAATGCTGTAGCCATCAGGACTGACATCAAACGCTTAAGTCTAAGACTTGCTGCATTCCCTCCCTGCAGAAGTTTGGGGTCACAGCCTGGCGCCACGCAGAGTGGCAGAAGAACCGTGACCTCCTGCAGCAGTAGCCTGGCCATCTCCTCTCAGTCACGGCCTGAATCAGAAAGGAAATAGAGCGAAAAGCTAGGCTTCTGCCCGGAGATCCCAGGCTTGGCCCTGGCGTGGCTCAGATGGTTAAGGAATTTTGCTTGCTTGGGGGACACTACCTGGTTTGATAATGGGACACACAAGCTGAGTTTCCTTCCATCTCTGTGTGGGCTAAGAGTTTGGCAAGAAAGAAGGGTTAAGTTCATGGTTTCCTTTATTAACGTCTCTTAGAATAACAAGAGCTTGAATGGTAAGAGGTATAAACCAATGCTTATTAAAATACAGAGAGTTGACTGGAAGTCATCTCAAAAATGACGGGTTCAGAAAGAACCCGTCTGAAGTGCATCCCACAGAGTGAGGTGCTCTATGCTGTAAAGGTTCTTCAGTTCTCTTTCTGGTGGCAGAATTTAGGATAATTTGCTGCTAAAACATGCTTCTGTCTTACAGCTTCCATTTTTAACTTGTATTTTTGTCATTCCAGGGAATCCTCCTCTAACCCGGCAAGCCCTGGACTCCAAGCCAGCTGGCCCTGCTGCAGCCAGTGAGTGTCTAAAATAGCTTTATGTTCATGTTTTCTTTCTTACTTCATTTTAGAGACTTTTTTTTTCTTGGAAACAATGTATTTGGCGTTGCTGTGTGATTCATTTTGATTCTGGCTTTGACTTAGCTCTGTAATCTAAGGCTGTAGATTTTGTAGATTTTGCTTTTATCACTTGGCAGTTTGACTTAGGAAGAGATGAGTCAACGTTTTGGTACCGCACAAGTTCACATTTTGGGATTTCCTAAAGCACCCTGGGACGAGCCTGGTGAGTGGCCAATGCCACACCGACAGGACTGAGACTCGATGCTGAGGGTGTTAACAACAAGCAGTCGTAACGCAACAGGATCAAACTTGAGGACTGGGGAGAGGGCTCTTTCAGTAAATCTTGGCTATGTAAACTTGAGGTTCTGAAATTGGTCCCCAGCACTCAGGGACAACCGAGGGATAAGCTGGGCACATGTCTATAATTCCAATACTGGGGGCAGAAACAGAAATCTCTGGGGCTTGTTAGCTAGCCAGTCTAGCCAAATCTGCGAGTTCTGGTTCAGAGATCCTATCTTAAGAGATACAGTGGATGGCTGGCATGGTGGCACACATCTTTAATTCCAGTTCTCGGGATGCAGAGGCAGATGGATCTCTAAGTTCCAGGCCAGTCTTGTCTACAGAGCAAGTTTCAGGACAGCCAGGGATACACAGAGAAACCCTGTCTCAAAAGACAAATGAAAAATAAGCTACAGCAACAGCTCAGATGTTAAGAGCAGTTATGAGGGCTGGAACTCAGATCTGAGCACCCATGTAAGAAGCCAGGCATTCTGTAACTACCTGCAATTTAAGCTCCAAAGGGTCAGTTATCCTCGTCTGGCCTCTGCATGCAAGTGTGCATCCCCTTGTCACACCCATTCCCAGACATTAATACACACAGACATAAATAAATGAAATCTGTCTGATAATAATAAAATAGAGATAAATCAAGGAAGATGCCTGACTTTGATCTCCTCCTTCCACAGGTGCCCAAATGCACAGGCACTCACAGACACACATGCATACACACACACACATGTGCATACACATACACTCACACACACATGGACATGTGTGTGCACATACACACAAAGATGTGATGTTCTCATACTTTTTTTCCATGATAGTGGAATAATTTAAATATCTTTTATTTCTGAATGGAGAAGAAAAGAACTCTGGGTAGAGGAGGTCAGAGAGCAGGTGACATTTGTGAGGTACAGTCAGATGTGCAGTATGCACAGGGCCTAGCGTGACCAGGTTAGAACTCAGTCATTTCATGCTCTGTGGCTTCCAAGGCGCCCTGGAGGTGATCAGTCGTAGGTCGCATCTTTCGGCTTTTTCAAGCTGGAGTAATATCTAGACCAGTTTTTTCTGTATGTGTTTCCCCTGTAAAGGGATTGGCATTGAGAGAGTGACTCCTTGAAGTTACGTGGTGAGATGCTGTTATAAAACCACATAGCTATGGTATAACTTTGCAAAGCCAGCTGCAGACAGTCAAACAATGGATTGGCTGAGTTTCAATAAAAGTTTACAGGAACATCAGCGGGCTCAGTCGTTCTCATAGGCTGTAGTTTGCAGAGCCTTGATCTAGACTGCACAAGGTGCAAATGAGCCCACAAGTCCTGTTTTCTGATTTCCTAGTGATTTGTGGACAGTTATGAGTAGAATGCTTTTGCCAGTATTTATTGTAAAAATAAGTAAGTGTACAGAGGTGATAAGGTTATGACCAATACATCTAAGGTAGAGAAAAAAATAGTGAATTAATAGGTAAGTTGTTTAATGGGGAGGGAAAAAAAGCTTGTGTAATTGGACTCTCAAGATAGGAAGGACTCTGGGATAGGAATCGTGAAACCTTGGGAAAGCGGCCGAAGGATTTACCTGTTAAGAGAAATTAAAAATAGCATTTCGTATTGATTGAGTCGGTTCTCTTCTGCCTAAAGCTGTGCCTAAATTAACAGTTCCTCCACATCTAGCCTCATGCTTGGAATATTTTTCAGAACTCACTCTTCCTAAGTGGAAACAACACAAATGTCCATCCTGTCGCAGACAGTCGGGGTTTAGTTGTACACTGGAGTGTTGCCTGACTGTAGAAACAGTGCTGATCTTGACAGGTTACATAGTGAAAACACGCTAACTGAAGGAAGCAAGAACACGGTGTGTGGTTCTATGTGTGTGCAACCGTCACATAGGACAGTAATTGTTCTAGAGGCTGAAGAGGTGGGGAGAGAAGGAGCCATAATAGCCAACAGGTATCGGCATTGGGGGAAGATTGATAAATGCGCTCATTAACTAGTGATTGTGGTCACACAGTCCTGTGAGCAACCTAAAAGGTACACATGCACGCACACACACATACATATGCACACACGTGCGCATGCGTGCGCGCACACACACACACACACTTAATAAGTGTTAGTCTGGGTGGTAGAGTACTTCACTAGCATGCACAGGCTGTGAGTTTTATCCCGTCCACCTCAAAATAATAATTAAAAAAAAATCTTTTTAAAAAAAATAAAAGAAGCCAGATGGGTAGCATCTGTTGTTCGAGGCCTGTGCTCCCTGTGGGCTGCCTGTGTCTTTCGGAAGGTGTGTGGTCAGATACTTAAGCCGGAGCGACAGGGCCAGTGAGCTTTTCCTCTTGTTCTGTTTCAGGGAATGCCTCCACCACACAGTCTCTGGATGGTGTGCCCAGCCTGACCATGGTACATGGTAGGTTTCAGCTACAGTCTGGATGTTTCAGGTGCCATTCTGAGCCTGAGTTAGATAATCATTAATCCAGTTTGCCAGCAGGGTGCGACTCTATAAAGCAGGAAACCCCTTAGTCACTACGAAGCAGCTGGGAAAACGTCTGTCCTCACAGCATACATGACTGAGAGCAGAACATACTGCCCACGCGGAACGTGCAGCGTCTGCGTGTCGTTGGGCCCAATAGCAGTTTTAACTTCACTGCTTCATTTCTTTATGATCTTTGCGGAAAGTGGCAGGCCTGAGGAAGACCAGCCAACCAGACATGCCACAGGGCATTTCTGCTTGTTTTTCTAACTTTCGGTGTGGTGGCAGGTCACCTTTTTTAAACAAACAGTCTCAATGATTGGTCAGGAAGGCGTAGAAAAAAAGGTAGACACCAAAGGCAGAAAACCAGGCAGAGTGTCGGGGATGAAATCCCTGCCAGCCCTCGTCCCTCAGACGGGACAGCGGGCACGGAGTGCCATCATCATGCGGGGGTGGGTAGAAGACTATTTCCATCCGGATCGCTCTTCTTATTGAGCTGGGTTCTCTCATGTTTATCCTCTGCTCTTTGAGCTCTCCCATATGTTAGAGAAAACAGACATTCTCCATAGCTAACAAAACACGGCTGCTGGTGTGTTACAAAGAAACCAAAGTAGGGGGACCGCTTGATTCCTGTCTTGTCTAAGAATGGTTTAGATTCTAACGATTACTGCTTTCCACCTTGGATTTTGATTCTTCAAAGAAGGCTGTAGGCTGAGTAGTTGCGGAGATGGCCCAGTAGATACAGCACTAGCCACATGAGTGCAGGGATTAGAGTTTGGCTCCCCAGAACCCATGTCTGTAACCCCGGTGCTGCTCAGGCGAATGGCAGGTAGAAAGAAGGAAGCCCCGGAAGCTCCCCCAGCAGCCCAGCACGCAAAGCAGTAAGTGCTGTGGAAGGCCAGGACTGAGACTCACGCTCCTCTGACATCATATGTGTGCCATGGTGTTCCCACACCCACACTGACACATGCAGACACACCCATGCACATGCGCATTGTATACACACACACAAATAAAAAAAGACGGTAGTTATAGAGATGGCTGTGTAGATACAGAAGGTGTCTCAGTAGTGTATACAGACACATACATACTCATGCATGCATACACATGCGCCTACAGTATACAGACACATACATACTCACGCATGCATACACATGTGCCTACAGTATACAGACACATACATACCCACGCATGCATACACGTGTGCTTACAGGGAATTGAACCTGGGTCCACTGGAATAACAGTTACTATCTCGGTCATCTTTCCAGCCTTAATTTAAGTGTTTAAAAAGTCACACAGTAGCCAGGTCAGTCTCCTGGGTAAGGAGCCACCCACTTAGGGAGGAACCACGCTAATCCAACAGATGGAATGACTGACTCCTCCTGGGTCTCACTCAGCCTCGCTCAGCCAGCTGCTGCTAACGGGCTCTCCCTCCTGCCTGCAGTTTCTTACTCCAGGATAGGGTAAGAAAACATCTGAAGAAAAGGCTGTTTATAAAGAACAGGGATTTATAAGACAAATTAAACATGAGCCTTTTCTATCAAATGCTAGAAAACTCAGGCTTATGACGAGGAATTCAAATCTTTTTATCACCCCCACCTTGTAAGACTTTGATATGCAAATATTTTACTCTGTCCCCCACCAATAAAACTTTATACACACAAAGATGGTGTTGCATTCTAAGATTGAAGTGGCTGACCGCTTCTCTCTTCAGGGCCTCTACACCATTTCTTTTAAAACTTGCCAATCAAACAAAACTGTGAGGCATGACCCCAGCCAGTGGGAAAAAAGACACTGCTGCCACCTGAGTTAGAATGAAACCAAGTGCTCTTCCTGTCTGTGTTTGCTCTTCTGAATCAGCCTCTTGGTAGAGTCGAGTTTTGTGTTACCCACATACTAAACAATACCTATATCACACATGTCGACAGATATTTTTCTTGTATTGTCAAGACTAAGACAACTTTGTACAAGTTGAATATGCATTTTATCTATTATTAGTCTCAAGGAGAAAAAGATCCTGAGTGTTTTAAACGCCCATAGATAATAAAATCCAGCATGTAGGTTTCAGATTGTGATTGAATACGTCCCTCACAACCAGCCATGGACTAAAGGGGTCACTGTTACAGGCCAGCATGCCCAGATGTCAAGATTTATGAAGACCAAAAGTCTAATTTAGTTCTGTCATGGGCTTTGGCTTATTCTTTGTTTTTAAGTAGAGTCTCCCGTGTAGCCCTGGCTAACTTTATCCATCAACCAGGCTGGCCCTAGGCTTACAGTGACCCTTCTGATTCTGCACCCAAGTGTTGGATTTTTCAGACCTGTACCAACACACCTAGCTCAACAAAAACAAAAGCATTGATATACTTCATATAGCGTATATAAAGTATATATACATATATAAATTTATTCACACAGCCATACATCCATCCAAATTAGTGTACTAGAAGTACCGGTTAAATAAAAGCCAGACTGTCCACATAGGTGCTAGATGTGTAACAACTCAGGTCCATGCCTGGCTGCCTGGGAGCGCTCAGTGACTGCTGTTCCACATTTGTCAGTGTGTTGTGTGACACACTTCTCTAACACGTCTACGCACTCCACAGAGGGAGTCCACAGCAGATCAAAGTACAGATGCCACCAAACTCAAACTTGGGGAACCCATGAGTTTTATTGGAGTTTATTACAGGAATATGGGGGAGGGGTTACTTAAAGGAGCAGAAATTACACAGACAACTGCATCACCACTGGCCACCCTAGCATGGGTGCCAGCCAGGTCACAAAGCTGAGGACCTGGAGCACACAACACAGTCTGCAGGCAGCTCATCAGGTTAGAGTGTCCAAGTGACTCTGCTGGTGTCTGCTTCTGGTCTCAGAGTCAGTCGTCTTTGCTTAACTCTGTCTCAGAAGGACTTTTAGCTTTGATTGCTTACTCTGACAGGGAAGGAGGCCAGTGAGTCTGCTCAGCTTCAGGGACTTCCTGGAGCTATTTTAGTTGTTTACCTTTCCGGCTTAAGGAGCTTTTTTGCAGGATAGAACGTTTCAATATTGGAGGAAACTTACACAACACAACACCAACCTGGAGGCTAAGATAGAATGAAATGGCTTTCACCACCAAGGTGAAAGTGTCAAATGGAAAAGTTCCCTTCTGTAGTCTGAGCTGCAGATGGGTGAGCTTTGAGTCCTGTAAGCCAGTTTGCTACATAGAGAGTTCAAGGCTAGCCTTAACTACATAAGACCTTATCTTTAATAAATAAATAATAAAATCAAAAGTGACTCCCTCAGTATTATCCTAGTAGGTCTTTGCTATTCTCACAAAATATATCTATGGTCATGGATATGTACAGTAGTTTGTACATACATATATATGTATATAAACATTTATATGCAAACAAACAAATCTATATATTTAAGGAAAGAAACATTTGTGTTACTTCTTTCTCTCCTCATGAGCAGAGCAGGCATTTCCTTCGCACGTACTGGAACCCATAGAAGAGCTTTCGTCAGAGGAGGAAAAAGGTAACAGTACCAGCGTTATTTATTTACTCCGTTCTGGACCCTAAAAGTCCAAGTTGATGCTGCATGTCACACCATACGGAAAACAGGAGAGGCTTTTAGCTTTGGACTGCAGTTTTGGCTGATAGAACACACAGCCCCTGGTTATCTTGTCCCCTAATGCTCCTGTATCCCCCGCTTTGTTACGTTTTTCTGCAGGTAAGTTAATAAGAAAGTTGCTACATCAGGAAACTTAAAAACAAAAATCTTTTATTTCGGGACAGATATTCTGACCAGACGGCAAAGCAGCACACGTATTGTGCACCAGATGGTGTGAGACTATTTGTGTCAGAGTGGTTTCTCACAGCGTTAGACTCAAATGAATGAGTAAAGTGTCCGTTTCCAAATCACTGTGTTTTCCAGAGCTGGGGATCGAACTCAGGACCTTGCGCATGCTCGGCAAAGGTTCTACCTGGGAGCCATAGGTCCCACCGCCAAATTACTCTCAGTGTCAGAAAAGAATACAGGATCTAAGCACTGGGTATAAAATAGAGAATAATAATACCCCGTGGTGGGGTGTGGGAGCTGTCATAGTGGAACTGATAAATGGTTATTGCTAACATATTTCATCTGGCATTTCTAAACATTGCTTTTTAATTGATTTTTATTTGTTATGTACATTGGTGTTTTGCCTGCATGTATGTCAGTGTGAGGCTGTTGGATCCCCAGGAACTGGAGTTACAGACAACTGTGAGCTGGTTCCTCTAGCTGAGCAGCCAGCACTCTTAACCGCTGAGCCAACACTCCAGCCCTAATTATCACTGCTGAGGGGGAAGCTGGTTGGTAGTAAACGCGAGGGCTCCATCATTAACCATTTCTGTCAGGAAGGGAGGTTAAAAACATGAATTCCAATCAACAAACTTTTGTGGTTATGTGTGTGTTAGCGCAGGGTTTGCAGAGGCCAGAAGAAGGCACTGGATTCCCTTTGAGGGAGCATGGGTGCTGGGAGCTGAACTCAGAGCCCCCGGAAGAGCGGTGCATGCTCGCAACTGCTGAGCCATCTCTTTAGCCATGGCATGTACAATTTTAATAGTTGTCATAACTCCTGCGTAATAGGATTTACCATTTCTTTCTTATTTTAACAAAGCTACAAATTGACTAAACCAGCCCTATTCATAATGTTTACATGACATATATTTTCAAGTCCTAGTGTTTCTATGTTAATCATTGACATTTTTAAAGAACACATTTTTAGTGAGGTTTATTTTCATTTGTCTTTCCAAGTTGTCCCTCACTTTTTATTTACTAGTTCAACATGACTTCGAGGGCCTCTTTTTTTTTTTTTCTGAACCCTACACTGGCCAACAAGACAGCAAAGCCAGTGATGTAGAATATGTGTTTTGATTAATTGATACCAGCTCTTAGGACAGATTTTTTTTTTGTTGTTGTTGTTGTTGTTTGGTTAAGTGGTTGGATTTTTGTTTTCTTCTGAGAGGTTTTGCTTTTATCTCTGTGTGTGTGTGCGTGGTTGCAGAATTTGCTGAAGCGTTAGCAGTCACTCAGCTTCATGGATGCAGGGAGCGAGATTAAAATTAAGATGGCCTCTGACCCTTAATGACGTAATCAAATATGTTCCGATATTTCCAGCTGAACGAGCCAGAATAGCAAAGTATTAAAACTATATCTTCATGCAGGATTTTTTCCTATTTGATATGCAAACTAATTTGGCTAATTTTGGTTTTAGTACAGTTTAATTAATTAATAGATGAACACTTTGGCTCATGCTTGCAATCCTAGCATTTCATCACTGTGACTTTGAGGCCAGTGTGGGCTAGAGTGAGACTCTGTCTCAAAACAAACAAATGAAACCCACCCCCCCCACACACACACACAACCCTTCGTTGATTTAACAGAATATGATTTAGTATTGGGATCATGCAGCTATATGGAGAACGTGTTAGGCAATGGCATTTTGTTTAATAATCTCCCGCAATCCAGGTGGCAGCTGCTGAAAGGCCAGAGAGTGGTTGGGGGAGGGGTTCCCTGCAGCCAGTCAGAAAGGGGGATACATATCTTGCTGGTTTACGACACTTGTCCAGTCCTTTGAAATGAAATGAATCTGCCTGGATATGGGATCCATATGATAGGCTATTTGCCAGACTTGTTTCAAATCTGGCTTTGGACAGTCTGCCAGCTCTTGGGTCTCTTGAGTCGGGTCTTAAGCTACCTTGGGCAGATTGACCTTCACTGTGAACCATGCTATTCCAAGCTCTCTTGAACTAGACAGTTTTTTTTTTTTTTTAAGTAGGCAGTAAAAGTAGACCAGGGTGAGCCAAGGCTGTCGTTACCAGCTCCACTCCAGTACCACGAAGGGGAAGGAAAAAGGTGAAGTTGGGGATGGAAAGTGAAAGGAGTATGACCTGGGTTTTATTGATTGTTTTTCATTGTTTGGCTTTTTGTCTCGTTTTGTTTTAATTATAGGTTGTTAGCCTCTTTGCAGTTTTGGTAAAGACTTGGAAGGGGAGAATAATCACAAGTTTCATTTGTACTTAGCATCTACTAAATTTATCTTCTTAAAACTTAAATAAAATTTAAATAAATCAGACATTTTCTCTTCATTAGATAAATTCTAACTAGGCTTAGAAATGAACTTTTGGGGAAATATTCTCATTGACTAAACATTAAAAAAATATATGACTATTTCTTAGGTTGATTAATTATAATTTGGGTAAACAATCAGTAGCCTTAGAAGTCACTAAGTCCCGAGGCAGACAGTTTTAAACACTAAGATCCTTACGGTTATAAAATATCCAAAACCTTAAAATCTTTACAGATATTTCTAACTTAAAGTTGTATGCTGTCATTTCCCACTTAGAATAAGTTTGTATAATTCTTTTTACACCTACTTTTTACTGATACCTTGATTCAGGACGAGAAAATGACCAGAAATCAAGTAAGAAGACACATCTGAGGAAAACTTGGAAGGGCGACCTCTCCTCAAAGGGGCTGAGGACAAACTTGGAGAAGGAGCTGGGGAAGAAGCTGAAGAACCTTGGGATTAATGCAGTACGTTAGTTCATGTTCTGAGCATTTGCTCCTTCTGTCTTACTTCCCCAATCAGGACACTAGGGAAGAGAAGAAGGCGCCTTAAGTTTAGACTGCATGCTAAGACCCAGGTTAGCAGGGCCCCGGATGGCATATGCTGCCTGGGGCGTTTCTAAGGCCGTAACAAATACAAACTTATTTACAAGCAGGGGAATGAAACTTGGACTAAATGGTGGTGTTACTTGTTTTGTGTAAAGATGAGGTGACTTGACTAGCTAGTCATGCTGGAGCCTGGGTCTGTCTGGGTGGTCAGAGTGCATTGATACATCCCGAATAATGCATCCTGATGACACCTCAAACCACTGCTCACTGTGAAACCAGAACTTAGTAAATGATGAATGAACAGGCAGCTGAATTAGGTTCCATTTTGAAACCAGATTGAATAATCTCAGTCCCACACCTTACATGTAAACCCTTTGTGCTTTAAAAATTATTTATTAGAACACACTAACAATTTGATGAATTTATTTGTGTGCAGGTAAATACATAAGTGCTTGCGTAACTATATATGTATGAATGTATATATGTATCATACACAAATGCATGCAAACATACACATATGAACATATATGTGTAAGCATGAATGTATATTACACACAAATGAATGCTTATACATGATAGATGGGTGTAGTGTGTGGATATGTATCAATACATGTGTATGTAGCTGTATGTCTCAGCTGTTTGTGTGTAGACATATGTGTGGATATAGCTGCGTATGTATACATACATTTGTATAGAACCATATCCTCATACATGTACATGTATATACATGTATTTGAGTAAACATGGATACATTGTGTATCTCCACGTTTGTATGTTTATGTGTGTGCATTTGTAGGCACGTGGGTGGGTTTGCTTGAGAGAATTGTAACCACCACTCAGATGACGTTGGGCATTTCTAGGACCCTAGAAGGTCCCCTTACCTCCTCCTTGCCTCTCTCACCAGCTGCTTTCCAACAAGACGTGACAGCTGTTGGGACTGAGTCTACTTGTTCTTGGGCCTCTGTGGAAGCACCTTTGTGCCGTCTCCTGCATCTTGCCCTTGATGATGCTCTAGTCCGTGTGGTCCGTGTCTGTTTCATGCACCAGGGGTCTGTTCTTTAGTTACCTCACTGCAGCACTGAGTTGAATACTGTGCAGTTTTTTTCTCTCTTCTTGAAAATGGAAATGCCAGGTTCCCTTGTGGACTCTTCTGGCTACTAAGTTGTGAGCATGTGCTCTGGTGTGAGCATAGAACATCAAAGTAAGTGTCCTTTTCCTGGAGGTTTGTCTAGGAATGACATTGCTGGGTCAAGTGACAGACATGTTTACCCTCATAGCTGCTCCCGAATCATTTCCTTAAGTGTTCGAGTCCACACTCGCCCTAAAGGGGCAGAAGGGTTCAGTTGCTCTGTGTCTTTAACCAAGTCTTAGTATTGCCGGGCTCTGATTTCTCAGACTCTTTGTGGGTTTCTAGCCACACTGGGCAGTGGGAATCAGAGACATTCATGCAGTGTCCTCAGTCCCATTCAGACACGCTTGAGTCTAGGTTTTCGTGTTGGCTGTCTCTATGGGTTTTGGGAGTTTTAATTTAATCAGAGCTTTATCTATGGTTTTTCTCCTAGTGTTTGGAGACATGTTTGTTTATTTCCTGGTTTGGGGGTTGTGGGGGGTGTTTTCAGAACAGAAGAGTTTAGCTTTATTTCCACTTGAAGCAGCTGTCCTGATACCATTTCCTGTTCATCTGAAATAATTCTTTTATTATGTAGAAACTCCATGTGTGCATTTGCATCTGCTTTGGACCTTCAGTTACTTTGCCATATTTGTTAGTTAGTTAGTTAGATAGTTAGTTAGTTAGTTAGTTAGTTAGTTAGTTAGTTAGTTAGTTTTTTCAAGACAGGGTTCTCTGTGTAGCCCTGGCTGTCCTGGAACTCATTCTGTAGACCAGACTGGCCTCAAACTCAGAGATCTGCCTGCCTCTGCCTCCTGAGTGCTGGGATTAAAGGTTTGCACCCCCACTGCCCGGCCATATTCATTCTTTATTCATTTGTGCATACCGCACAGACTGACTTAGACCAGCCATGTATTTTTTTTTTTTTTTGTCTCCCATGGGCATGCTTTCCCTAGTCTTGCTGCTTGAAACATTTTGGTAATTTTTCCGGTTCTTGTTTTCTGTTGAACTTTATAAAAAACCTCCCTGGAATCCTGCGGGAAGCTGTTGGAAATGCTGTGTGCTAATTAGGAAGGCGGATAGCTCTATAACATTAGATCCTTCCACCCACTAGGGTGTAGGAAGGCGGACGTTAAGCTGGGTCACAGAAGTATGGGAAGTCTTTGACCCTCTGGAGCGATAGACAGAAGTTGGGCAGATCAGGTGAATGACAGGGGACAGGAAACCTGGACGTGGCACTTATCTGATGACAGAAATGTCTCTCCTGGGCAACCACGTGAGGTAGCGAGGCCACTGTTGGGGTGGGGAACTCAGAAGAAAGGGGAAAGTCTGGGAGAAGGCGGTGAAGATGGGAGTTGAGTTCATGTGTGAAATACTAACGTTAAGTAACTAACGTTTAAGTGCCCTTTTCCGACTAGATTCCCGTCAGACCCAGAGTTCCTTGGGTCACGCCTTTGATGAGTTCTTGAAGGAAAGTCAACTCTGATGGCTTTCCCGTCCCTGTGGGGATGACTGCTGAGCCTTCCAGGCCGGCATTCAGGTTTCTCTTTTGGTCCCATCTCCCAGGCCTTTGTCACATCAACCTGGGGGACATGCTTTGGCTATCTCTATCCTAAGGCCCTGTCTTCCTCCCAGGGTATCCCCAGTGCCCGGCCATCTGGAAACTGCCTTTTGCCCATTTGTCCGTTTCCACCTTCATAGGAGCACAGCTCAGCCTCCCGCTCCACCCTCCCCTGGAGGTCAGGGCCTCTGGCGGGCTCTCTCTCTCTCTCTTGTAATTCTTCTAGTCTTGCTTGTTTGCCACTGATCACACAACATTGCACTGCTGGTGAACCAGTCATAAACAGGCACAGCTGTACTGCAAGGGCCTTTTGGAACCAGAGGGTTTGTTCTATGCTGGAGCATCCTCATCCCCTACCTTAAATGACCCTGGGCTCCAGAAGAACAGAGTTAATGCCGACACGTGTCTACAAATGAAAAACACCTAAGGATATAGATAAGAGATTGACGTGACATCTTATTCCTTCAGGATATGCATGGCATTTCCTGCGAGATCTTGACCAAATCACTGAAAGCCATGCAGGGAGCCAGACGTGATCTAGAAAAACAAATTCCTGACATTCAGCAAATCCGAGAATCCCTCGAGCATCAGCTGACCTGTAAAATGGAGGCGAAGGTGTCACTACCTTCAGGTAAGCCTGCTGTGGCCACCTGGCACTTCACTGCTACAAATGGGAGCCAAATTCTAACAACCATTGTATAATTTTAAATGTTTGCACACTTTGGCACTAACGGCTTCCTTACTGTCTGTACTTAAAATGCTGGGTCTTGGGTTATACTTTTATCTTGAAAGAAGCCCTGACTCCTACTTTGGGGTGGATAATTTTCCTATAATCCTAACACTCAGAACGTAAGGGCAAGTGGACCAGGACTTTAGAGTCCTTCTTAGTTATATAGCATATTCGAGTCCAACCCGGGTTACAAAGATTCGCCCAGAAAAAGAAAAAAAAAATCCAAGAACAAACAAACAATAATAATGAAGCCCTGAGTCTGGATCCCAACCCGAGAAGCAGGCTTGTTCTCTCCAGTGACACCGTGGATAGCGTCGTGTTATTTACTCTGGATTTTCACCTTACCACAGAGGCGATGGAGACTCATGAATGATGCTTCTCTTCCAGATAGGTACAATGTCCCTCTCATGACCACTTTGTCAGCTGACGACGTCCTCAAAGCCTCCCAGGTTCCCCCGCAAGGCAGACCATTGATCAGACAGAGGGCCGTGTTTACTGATAAGGTGGCTGTCCCAAAGTGAGTATTTTCAACTATATCTATATCTATATCTGTATGATTGTTTATCTTATCCAACTGAAGTTGCAATAATAATACATCATGGACTGGGTTCCTGAAACAAGAGAAATTTATTTTGGAGGCTGGAAGTTCAGAATCAGGGTGTCAAAGTGACATACCTCCTCCAAGAAGGCCACGCCTCCTAATCTTCCCAAACAGGTCCAATGGGGACCAAGCACTCAAACATTTGAGCTTAGGGAGCTTACAGATAGTAATCCCATTATGGGGACCCAACCCTTTGACTCCGTTTATTCCAGTACTTTCCAAAGCCCCGCCTCCAGAGGTCACCGCACTCCAGGTCTGGGGGGTTACAAACGTGAGTCCGTAGCTGTGAATCCCATCCGCAGCTCCTGTGTAGTCTCGGGTCGGTAACAGACTTTTGTGGTTTCCACAGACATATGTGTTGACAATATTATTTACTTACATGCTTTAGAAATTTTTTTGTCTTCCTCTAATTTTTTTTATTTTAGATTTAAGAAAAGTACCAAAGAAAATCATTTTCTCAGAAAGTTTTCATCTACCAAGTGAGTACTGCGCAAGGTTCTGGGGGTGTCGGGGATGGATATAAAGTTTCTGAGCATTCCTCTCATGATAAAGGGGGGGGTTCGCTGCGATTACGTGAAGCCACGGTGGTTGTTCTTCAGCATTGCTGTCCTAGTCCTTCACGGTCTGTTATTTGTGACATGCCATCTTCAGCCACCGTCACTCACTTCACCAAGTCGTGGCCTCCATGAAGAAGAAGGAGCACCCCTGAGTCGTTCTATACAGCCTTCCACGTTTAAATAGAACAGACGGCGTTTCGGTGGCTGGATCCATGATCACATAGGGGTCGGGGGCCATTTCTGCATCCTGTCTCCCTGTAATGGCAATGACGACTCCAGCCTGCCTCCCGCTGGGGCCCCTGAGATGCTAAGAATCTTTGCCGGATCACTCAGCAGCTAATATTCATCAAGTGCTCTTTTTGAATCTGATTTTTAAAATATTCTGTAATATGTGACACTTTTTTGTTTCCAGAATACTTTTTTTTTTTTCTGGTGCTGGTTTGTTTTGTAGATGAGATCTTACTATGTAGCTCTGGCTGGGCTGGACCTCTCTCTCTGACTACGCTGGCCTTGAAGTCACAGATGTGCTCCTGCCCCAGCCTAATTACTGGGATTACAGCATGGGCTACCGTACCTGGCTTAGCATCATTTTGCAGATTCAATGAGAACATACGAAAGGATCTTGGCACTTGTGGGCACTCAGTAAATTACCGATATGTTTCTGTTATTAATTAGTTCTGGATGGCACTCATTTCCTCTTGAATGTCATCCTCTTGCCTGCGTCTGGAGATGTCGATACTATAAAGTCTCTTCTCTGGGAGGAAGAGCGGGAGATTGGGGGAGAGGAGGAGAGAAAGAGAAACGAAAACAAAATATGTATGAAAATTCAGAATAAAGCCAATTGTATGCTGATTAAAAGACCTGATTTGTAAAAAGATAAAAAGGCACACCTGGTGGTAAATTCTGAAATGAGGAATCAACACCCCATGTTGGTTATGACAGCACCCCTGTACCCCCATTTTGGTTCTGATGGGACCCTATGCCCCTGTTTTTGCTCTGACGGCACCCCTGTACCCCCATTTTGGTTCTGACTTATACAGGACGCCGCCCTTCAGCTCGGAGGAGGAGCTGGATGAAGAGGACTTCATCCCGGCATACATATCTCCAGACTTATTTACCCTTCAGCCCTCTAAGAGTAATCTGAGCAACTTCGGGAAGAATTCTGTCAAAAGTGACACCGACTGGACGGAGGGAAGCGAGATGGAGGACTCGGATGTTTCCCCGAAGCCCACAGGTGAGCCTTGATCTCTAAAAACCCCCTCTCAAGTGTACTTAGGACATGGTCCCTGCCCAGGGGCACCACGCCCTGGGCATCTGAGCTGGAACTGTGTATGAGGGCTGTGGGACTCGTCCCAGGGCAGCGCTAGACAGCCACCCATCTTCAAGTAGACAGGGGAGAGCCAGTTGAGGACACCTGAGTATGTGGCCCTCCTACAGCCGATTGAATTAAGTGCCCCAAGCTGAGTGACTTCAACACCAGATCTGCTGTGTCTGTATCCTGTAGGCTGGACAAGTAAACTCAAGGTGTTGGCAAGAGAGCCACAGGGAAGGTGTGCTCTGTTTCTCTGGGGAGGCTCTGTTCTCCCTGTCTAACTTTGTATCATATTCCACTATGAGTTCCTCTCAGTCCTGGTTCCTAGGTTTTTGTTTTGCTTTGTTTTTTTGATTTTCAAGCCTGGGTTTCTCCGTAGCTTTGGAGCCTGTCCTGGAACGTTAGCTCTTGTTGACCAGGCTGGCCTCGAACTCACAGAGCTCTCTGCCTGCCTCTGCCTCCTGAATGCTGGGATTAAAGGTGTGCGCCACCACTGCCTGCCTCCTGGTTTCTAGTTTTAATAAGGACTGTTCACATAGATCATGGACAACTCTTTAAAATGTGTGTGTCTGTAGCGCATGTACATGCGTGTGTACAGTGTATGCACATGTGTGTGGTGCATGTGTGTATGTGCATGTGTGCATGTGTGTGGTTGCACGCATACACATGTGTACACACATGAAGGACAGAGGTCAGTGTTGGGTATCTTTGTTTTCTTTCTTTGAGACAGTGTCTGTCACGTAACCCAGAGCTCCCTGATTTGGCAAGGCCAGCAGGCTGTCGAGCTTCAGGAATGTTCTTGTCTCCACCTCCCCCAGCACTGTGATTACACACACGTGCCAGCATACCTGGATTTTTTGCGGGTGCTGGGATGGAACTCAGGTCCCCATGCTTTGTGCAGGCATTTAACTGCCTAAGCCATCTGCCCGGCCTGGCCCCGTGGGACCACTCTCAATGACCTCACTCTAACTTAACGACCTCTTCACTTCCAACGAGGATGACATTCTAAGCTGAGTGCCTCAGCATGGGAATCCCAAGGGACAGAATTCAACCCGTTAACCTTGGCTGACTGAGAACGGCTGTCCTAATGGGCCGTGCTTTCGACAGGGTGGTTTAAAGAAAGACTGGCCTCCTGTGTGAGATTCCCGACCACTTCCTAAAGGAGGCAGAGCCAGTAATGGTCTTCTTAACATAGACTGTTTCAATATCATTTATAATTGCAGATTTTAAATATATCTGGCTTAGCTATATTAAATATAATTTGAATATACTACATAGTGATATAATTTGGAAAATATAATGGGTGCATTTAAAAATAACACCCTATTTTCTACATACCCATTAAATATCATATATTTATTTGAATGAGACAACCCACTGTTGTTTTGAGCGAAAACTTTGTAGCTTCATGCCTGGGCATAGGATTTCTTCTCTTAAGGGAATTATAAGTATTTAGTTTTAATTTTTTTTTAAATTTTATGTGTATGTATGTGTGTATACATGTGTGCACGCTTGTGTGAGGCCACAAGAGGGCATCAGATCCCCTGGAACTGGAGTTACAGGTGGTTATGAGCTTCATGATCTGGGTCCTGGGAACTCAACCTCTTATCTGTAGGAACAGCGGTGCTATTGACCCCATCTTCTTTCCAAACCCCAAATGCCTCAATTAGTTTTATTTGAATGATGAGTCGTCGTATGTAACGCAAAGACTCCTTCAGAGCCGACTGCGGGCTTTTGGAACTGGTGGTGATCCCGTCTGTGGAAACCTTCTCTTGACTGTGTTCTGTTGCTCCTATAGGCACATCTGTTAAGATACAAACTGAAAATGTTGAGAGCATGGTTTTACACCAAGGAAGTGGGAATAAACCAGTTACTGGAATGAACATTGCTGAGACACTTATCAAAAAGGAAGACTTGCAAGAATTAAAGGTGAAACCACTTGCTAACTAGTTCATCTTCGGATGAATTAGTTAGTAAATATATTTTATAATGGAGTCAAAGTCGATTGTGATTAGTTGATATAGTGAAGGCTGATGCTTCGTCCTGATTTGGTCTTAGTGTTGCACTTTTTCACCATCCCAGAGAAAATCTCCTGTCTGACAGCAGGTGTGTACACATCGAGCAATCTGAAACCTGTAGTGTCCCAAACCGCTGAACTTCATAAACACTGGCGTCATCTCAGAAATTCTCAGGATTTGAGATGCAGCTTACAGAGTCTAGGTCTGGCCTCAAGTATGCACACAAGAGTTCAAAATGCACACAAGGAAGTTTCTGGTTTTGAATCACACTGGATTTGGAGTTTTCGGATTGGAGATACTCACACCCAATAAGACGTCTGAAAGTAATCCCAAGCCCAGCTCCCTGTCTATTTTGAAATACTTCTGGCCCAGTCATTTCAGTTCTCTGTAGGGCTGTTCAGCCTACAATGCCATGATATTTGCCTGTCTCACTGCACAGATGCTCACAGCCCCATCGTATATGCAGTCTGGCACCTGCAGCTGTTAGATGTTTTGACCACAGCAGTGGGATAAGCTAGAATCTGGAGCCTCCACATCTACTCCAGGGATTTTTCTGATGCCTGGAAGTAAAATAGGAACTTTTAAGAATTTGTCCAACCTCGGAGTCAGAATCATCGGAGAGGCCTGGAAGGTTCTGGAGCAGTTCTAACGCCCAGAGTGTGTGTAATGGAGCTCGGCTGTTGCCATTCTGGCTAGCTGGTTGTGTAGACTGGGTCTTCCCGTACGGTCATCCTCTCCAGTTCTGTAGCTAGACCCCCACCCCCCACTCCCGTTCATCCACGGACTCAAAACAATCTGTTGAACATTCTTCATTAGTTATATTTTGTGTGTGTGTTAACACAAACCAAAAAAATAAAATTGTCAAAATGCTGCATCATTCAAGATGGCATGGCTCTCCTCGAAAAAGGCTTGCCGGAAATGTGCTCCTTCTAGCGGGGGTCTCATTCTACAGGATGACATAAATCACCCTGACTAGAGTTTCCTCCCGCTGCCATCTTTGTAGTCTAGAATTTTCTAAATTCACGGTTGATAAAGAAAAAAATCTATGGCCTGGAAAAGAGAAGTGATATCTGTAAATTTCCCGATGCGGGTTTTCAAATTCACTTTGCAGCTCTGAAAGATGCCTCCATTTGGGCTCCTGTGCCATCCCCACCTTCTTGTTCAGTGTCGGCTGCTCAACCTAAACCACAAAATGAACGAGAGGCACTGTTTCTTTAAGACATGCAAGTTATAGCCGGATGGTGGTGGCGCACACCTTTAATCCCAGCAGTTGGGAGGAAGAGGCAAGCCGATCTCTGAGAGTTCGAGGCCAGCCTGGTCTACAGAGCTAGTTCCAGGGCAGGCTCCAAAGCCACAGAGAAACCCTGTTTATTCTGTGTTTATACAGAGAGATCGAGATGATGATGTCTGGGACATATCATCCTTAGAGGAAGAGAAATCCTTGGAGAAGAAGCTAGAACAGAGGGAACCCCCACCTGTGAAGAGAGATCTAAATTCCGCTCAAGTGCCAAGGGCCTGGGGCCCAGTGAACCCTCGGGAACTCAAGGAAGAAGGTTAGCAGTCCTCACTCCCATTTATGGATGGGCCGTGTTTCTGGAGTGTGTACGTGTGTGTGCGCGCGCGCGTGCGTGCGAGTGAACATTAATATACATGTGGGGGCAGGAGTCACTGGACTCTTCCTTGAGGCAGGATCTCTCACTGGCCTGGCGCTCACCAAGCAGGCCAGACTGGCTGGCTGGCCTGAGAGTCCCAGGTCTGTCGCTGTTTCTGCTCCCTCAATGCCAGGGAAACAGTGACCTTTTTAAAATGTGAGATCTGGGGATCAAATTCAAGTCCTCAGGACTGATCTGCAAGCACTGTAGCAATCAAGCTAAGCCTTTGGTCCCAAATGACACAGCTGTTAGAACCAAGATCTTGATGTTGTTTTTTTTTTTTATTACAAGGTATATCTGAACATTGATAACTTACTTCACAAACGTACAAATCATTTTAATTTCTTCTGCAATGTTTCAGTAAACATTGTAGTGTTATTTTTTCACCATGTCCACATAGATATTTTCTTTGTGCAGATGCCCCTAGAAATTACCCTCTCTGAGCTTACACATGAATGAGAAGTCTTTCAGGACTCCTGTATCTCCTACTAAGTCCTCTCCTTGGTTTTCTTCTAAGGTGATTTTTTTTTCAGTGTTGTAGTCAGTGGGATGGATCACAAATGACGTTGACATTGTAATTTGGAATGCTTCCTGTCCACCAGAGAGCCTAGATGTAACTCTCAGCAGACCTGGTTTCTAAATTCAAAGACAATAAATGTGTGCACCCACATGTGTGAGTGTGTATGTGTGAGTGTGTGTGTGTGTGTGTGTGCATACATATACACATCTCGTTTACTTTGCTTGATTGACGTGTTGAGACGAGATTTCACCTGTGTCAAGGTACAGCCCAGGGCTGGCCCTGAGCTTTCAGTCTTCCCACACCACATCTGGAGTACCGGCATAATTACAGATGTGCTACTGTGATCAAATCTGGGATTGTATACCAAGTCAGATCCAGCCACCCGTCCCCAACAAGCCAATTAAAAGACCCAAACTGACCGCGGGTTAAAAAGTAGGTTTGTTTAGTGTGACTGCATTAGGACGAGGGACAGAGCTGTCCAGTGACCACCCCAAGTCAAAGTTTAGAGGCCAAGAACATCCATGGCTGAGCAGTTGGTCCCTCCCATCACTGACCCAACCATTGCCTGGGATTTAGTCTTAACCTGGGAAACGATCTGACTTATTGTTAGAACTGTATCCCATCTCATTTTGGGTAGGGCCTTTTCCTTCTCCCACCATGAGATTCCTGGGGGGAGTTCTCATTTCTTTGAAGTCCATTGTTTCAACAGCCTGATAGCGTGTTGAATGGCACAGTATCTCTTCTTTAAGATACACGCATGTCTTCCACGCCAGGGATACCCCCATGCCCAGTTGTAGTATATATATAAAATCAAAGTAATCCTGGTGTGTTATAAAAGGTAAGATGAGCAGAAGGGGCCTCCATGATATTTCTCACCATCTTCAATATCCGATGAGCCATTCCTGTGTCTCTCAGTAATGCACTCAAACCTGCCTCTTGATTTGACGACTTCAGATATTAGCTACTGGTGTCCTGTTAGGACGGGGGCGTCCTTACCACCATCCCCGACACCTCTTTGTGCCCCTGTTCGCAGCTTCCTGCCAGCGCGGAGAGTTCCCACAGCCATGTCTCCTGTCTGCAGCAGGTCGTCTTGTCCCCTTGAGGCGTACTCAGCTCTGTCCCTTTTCTCTCTCGAGTATGTCAGCTGTGCGCTAACTGCCACACTGTCACATGATAACGTGTCTGCAGCAGAGCCATTGTGAAGCTATCTCTGCTAAGGACTCATAAAATCCAAAAGACTGCTTGAGAGACACTGCCTTATGAGGAACTGGGAGCATGCTTCCGTGCCAGGACCCCACGTTTCCCAGAGAACATTCCAGAATCAAATTAGAGCGGAGTTCTCCACAGCGTGCTGCTCCCACGGCTCAAAATTATGGCTATAATTAACTCAAATTTAAGTTCTTTTGCCCCAGCAAAATCTATGTTTAACACTTACCTCTAAATATTAGAGATTTACACTGACGTGAAGCATTGCACATTCCTTTCCTTCCCGGTTTCTATTTGCTTGTAGTTAATAACACAGCACAGACACACCGAGAACTCAGTATCCAGGCTCCATGCTGAACACCAGGGAAAGAGAAGCAGGACACAGGCCCAGCTACCCAGGATCTTATGGGCTTCAGAATGGATGGTCACAGGCCACCGTGTCCTGTGAGGAGATCTAGAAATGTGGCCAACTTGGGGGTGGGTGTGCTAGCAACCTCCCCGAAAGTCTGTAGGGACTTGGGGAAAGGTGAAGAGATTCAGACACTGGGTGAGCAAAGACTGAAGTCAGGGGTCTGGTATCCAGGTTTAACCACAGGTCCCCTCCTCGCCTCCTGCTCCCTGCCCAGGACTTCAAGACAACGAATCGAGCACCCTGAAAAGCAGCCTAGTGACTGTGACTGACTGGAGTGATATCATGGATGTGTAGCTACAACTCCAGTCAGAGAACCGCTCCGCAGCCAGCATCGGCCGACAGCCTGTAGGATTCCAGCGCTCCTCAGCATTCCCACCGTACAAGGAAGCTCATTCAGAGCAAGGGTGTCTTTGACGACACGTACCGCAGAATTGAAAACTGTCAGCTGTGTAGAAGCAAGATGTCCTTTAAATCATAAAATGTGTTTTCCAGTACGGTACTCTAGTGTTAAATGTATTTTTTTTTTCAATTAACTTTTAAGTCTTTTTTTTTTGACTGATAGTAGGCTTTGGTTTGAATTATTGTAGCTTTTTAAAATATGTCTGTTCTGTCACGTCAGTAGCTTTTATGTTACAAAATTCTGTTAAGTCTCTTCAAAACTGAATTAGTGGTACCAGTGACACCCTACGTGTTAAACTGGTTGTTTTCCGTATACAGTATGTCTAGAATGGTAACAATTAGCTAGGCCCATGCTAAGTACATTTCCCTGAAGTACCTTTGATCCCACGGAGCTCTGAGGCCCTCTTAGCATGTTGTTACTGACCAGTTATTTTCTGCAGTGTAATCTTTATCTCGGATATTTTATGAATAGCGTGCAACTGATTTTCATGAGATGATCATTAGAAAGAGATGAGCCATTCCTGAGTCACACATGTGTGTGTTTTCTGTGTTCTTCAGTACCCAGCCCATTATAAAATACCTCAGAACTAATTTATATTCTTGAACAATGGTCTCGGCATTGATCGGAAATTTTACATATAAACTGTGTGCTTGCTTTTCTTTTCTTTTTTAATTTTTTTTTCCTTTTTTTTAAAAAAATAGTTTTTATACTTTGTGGTACCATCAGGACTCTATCTCAGAAAAAAAAAGGTAACATTTTAATAGCTTGTTGATTTTTTGGTCTTCTGTCATCCATCAACAGTGCCAGTAAAGTCCTCCATGACACCCTGTGACTGTGGCTGCTTATTGGGGATGGCTTCTCGGCTAAGTTTATGAAGGGGCTTACACAAAGCCACGGCTTCTGACATCCTGACCTTGGACTAAATCTCCACGGCTGCTGTGGCTGCCACCCACACTCCTACAGGGGCCACTGTAGGCTCGCTTTTTTTGTAGATATCCAAAAGCTTATTAAGTGTCAGACTGTGATGTGGATAGAAATGAACAGCCTGCGCCCCAGACTTCCGCAGCAGATTTTTAATCGAAGCACATGGTTTTTTGTTTGTTTATTTATTCTGTTTTTTAAGAATGTCTGAACTAGGCAGCCACAGCTGACTTGGAACTCAACCTACGCTAGACCAGCCTGACCTTGAACTCAGAGATCCAGCCACCTCTACCTCCCAAGTGCTGAGATTAGAGGTGTGTGGTGTGTGTGTGACCGCGCCCAGCCTGAGCTGCGTGGCTTTGCTTCTGTTCTGGCTGTGATTTAGGCCTCCATTCGGGTAGAATTTTGAGATAAGCCTGAAGACGGCTTTAGAGAAAGCCTGCTCCGGGTTCTGTGCCCTGGTTTGAATTCTGGGACTGGGGAAGTAGAATGCTCCTCTGCCCAAACCCAGCATAGGAATTAACTTGGTATATTTTGGTCACAAGACTCAATTCTTTAACTTCTCTGTTTAGTTTTGCTTCATTTTCCCCCATTCTGTTTGATTTATTCTTTCTTCTGTCGCCAGACCTTATGGCCCCTGCCCGATACCATCCATCCCTTCCTCTTCTACCCTCCCTGTATCCCGTCCATCTGCTTTCTTCGCCAGCTGAGCTGAAGAACAACAATCACTTTAGAAGTATGTCTTCACAATGCTGTTTCCACACTGGTCTGTGGTACTTACGAAAAAAATATTTCAAGTATTAACAAGGTATGGCATTTAAAATTTTTTTAATTCCATTTTTCAAAACATGTTTTAAACCTTTCCATTGAATTCCTACAAACAATGTGATTTTTCTTTGTCCTTTTCAATCATTTGCTCTTGGGGAAAGTCACGCGGCACCCGGCACCCGGCACCCGTGTGATTCATCCCGGACGATGTGCAGCCCTTGACGCAGGTGCCAGATTCTGACAACTGATAACAGCTCACGTCCTGGCCCCATCACTCAAAGGTTCACGATTTCTGCTTTATACTCCTCTTTCCTTCCCTGCACTGCAGGAGGAGGAGGAGGAGAGGAGCCACCACCAAGGGCGCTGGGGTGTAAGTGAGTTGGGTCACACAAGCTGTGTAGGGATGGTGATGAGGGCTGCCTTTGTGGGCAGGTGGTTTGCAGGCCAGCCTCAGGATCCCTGTCTTGAAAACTGGCCAGTGTCTCAGTGACCTCGTGAGTGCTCTGTGCAGAACTCAGGAGACACCAAGGAACTGAGAACGGCAGGCACCGCACAGCCCACCCTCCCCACTACTTCCTCAGCTGGCTTTGGATTCAACCACAGTCAGGGCCCAGCTCACCTAAGGGTGTCAGACAACCCTTGTGGTCTCTGATCCACATAAAAGACAATGACAGCTTGGCCTCGGTAGTCCTTTCTTGAGCCAGTGTCGTGAGCGGCGGTCCTGTCAGACAGGTCTAAGAAACTGGAAGGCGGCTCTACATGGCAGGTAACAACGTGACTGTTTAACCGGGACACCTGATGAGGAATAGTCTCAAACTTGTCCTGTTCACAAGCCACCATTGCCGACACACTTCTGCCTAACGTGTGGATGGGACGAGGGAAGCTCTCAGCGTACCAAAGATCAAAGTGACCGTCACCCCAACATTTCCTGAGCCTTTGAACTAAGCGTCCATGTGCTCTATGGTTATAAAATATGCAGATCCTGTAAATAACCTGTTTATTTTCCTTATAGAAAGGCACAACAGAAAATGATTAGCATATAGCTATAAGAACATTTACATCCATCCAATCAACAGTCTTCAAATTCATATTTAAAAAAAAACAAGCAGAAGCGGCAATTACGGGAGGGATCATTGCGTGCACAGTTCAGTTTCAAGACACAGCTCGTCAGGAGCTCCTTCAGACATAAGCATTCTTATCAAACTGTTTGGAAGGACCTGTAGTTTTAAAATCCCCTTCGCCATGATACTTGGTCCGGGAAGACGTGACAGACGTGGGTCCATTGTACGTGTAGCTCATTCTGAAAGGCAAAGCATACTTGACTTTGTTGGGAGCAGTGAGACCCCGGATCCTGAATTTCTTGTAATCTCCTGACCTGAGTGCCTACAGCTGCTCCCAGCACGAGAACTTCAGGAGTTCCTGATGGCAGGAGAGTGGTTTCTGGTGGGTTTGGCTGGGGCGTGGCTATCTCTATATAATCTGCCCCTGCACACAATAAAGGGGGCATCCTTGGGGAATTCAAGGATGAGCCGTGTCGTTGTCTCTCTGTCTGTGTGTGTCTGTGTATTTTAACCTCCAGCCCCTTGCCCGAAGCTCGCGTACTGGGTGCCAGCGCACAGAGCGCAGACACGGGGCAAAGGAGAAAAGGGTGAAAACCGCTGTTGTTGGTCACTAAGCGTTCACGCCTCCTCTGGTTAGGTCTCCTCCCTCCTCTGCCCACACAGCCTGCGTGAGGAGAGGCCTTCATGGACCCCTGTCAATGTGAAAACTGACGACGTGGAAAGCAGGCCTTGACACTCGGGCGTGGCCTCCCCGCTGCAGAAGCAGCTTTTGAACACAGCAGGACGAGCTTTAAAAACAACACCTGTCCCTAACCCTTTCCCACAGTCACAAATTGTGTGTAACTTGCCCCATATGTAATGATTCAGAAATAATACAGCTGGGTGGTTCTCAACCTGTGCGGTGAGGCCCCTTCGGCAAACTTCTCGCTCCAAAACTATTTACGTTATAATTCATAAACTAGCAAAATTACAGTTATGAAGTAGCAAGTAATTTTCTGGTCAGGGGGTCCCCACAGCATGGAGTACTAAAGGGTCGCAGCGTTGGCAACCACAGGTGTAGCGCATTTTTGGCAGCTGGTTTCCTCTCTCCTCTCACCTGGGTGTTTTGTTGTTGTCTGATATCGAAAAGCAAAATATGACACCGCCAATGATGCAGAGCGAGGCTCCTGCCCACCCGATGAAGAGAGCGGCTCCCAGCTCGTACCTGTGAGGAAACGACACGGCGTTACAGGCAGCTCACGGGCGCTGGGCAAGCCCTGCCGACTGAGGCTTACTAACCACTCACACTTTCCTTCTATAAACTAACAAAGGAAGTAGGGACGGGTCAATGTTTGTTTCTAGTCTCTCCTGCTGTCTGACATGTCGGGAGCCAGGGGAGCGAGGCCCAGCCAGGTCAACGATGGGGTCACCTGACTCGTGACCACCTTCCATTCTCTGCCTTCGCTTTCCCAAACTTCCCGCTCATTTCCTCTGTCCCACGGACCAAATCACTTATCTGCGCTGCAGTGAGGGAAAGGACCCCGTCCTCCACATCTGTTCTAGCTAGTTCAGTAAACGTCAGATAACCTGCGGTATGCAGATAAATGAAGATGCAGGGTGTCTGTGCAGAAAGGGTGAGGGCCAGACGAGAGCGTCATCCCTATGGTCTAGTGGGGACGTTTAGAGGTAACCAGTGACCAGGCTTCGAGATGGCGGAATGCAATGCCTCCTGGACTGCCAAAGTGAATGCAGACACGAATAGATAGCCCTCCCCCAGGCAGGAAGGATAGGCCCGTCAAAAATGAAGTCACCTGTCAGACAGAAGAAACCCTTTCAGGTGAGAAACAGCCACACACCCCTAAAAGAAGGAACGAGGTTTGTAAAACTGCAGAGGCTTTTAGGTTCTAGTGGTCTGCCTGCCCCTCTTCCTGTAGAACTGTTTTCTTCTGTGAGAAAGCATCTCACTTTTGCTCCATAGACACACGTGCACACACATGCACACACGCATGCACACACATGTGCACACACGCATGCACACACGCATGCACACACAAGCATACACACTGTGAGACTAGGGAAAAGCTCTGCTGGTTCATTTCAGTATAAAAGGGACCCAGAGTGTGTTTTGGTCACACGGATCCATGCAGAGAAAATCTCAGGAGAGCCCAAGGTGAAGAGAAGACGGGGTTCCAGACCGCCACCCTCTGTATTGCTCCTGACATGGACCAGACATGAAGCGTGGGAGAGCCTGGCTTTGGCTTGGTGTGGAGGCCCCACAGCTGTGGGGAGCAGTTGGCAGGAGCTCTCCAAGGTCCTTAGCCCTTGATCCTGCCACTTGACCATGTAGGGGGGATCTCTGCACCCTTGTTTTTTTTTTTTTTTTTTTTTTTTTTTTTTTTTTTTTTTTTTTTTTTTTTTTGGTTTTTCGAGACAGGGTTTCTCTGTGGCTTTGGAGCAGAGTTTCTCTGTGGCTTTGGAGCCTGTCCTGGAACTAGCTCTGTAGACCAGGTTGGTCTCGAACTCGCAGAGATCCACCTGCCTCTGCCTCCCGAGTGCTGGGATTAAAGGCGTGCGCCACCATCGCCCGGCTTGCACCCTTGTATTTCTGCATGGGCTTTCTGTGGTGGTCTGTGTAGCTGTAGGAGTCCCTGGAGCCTGGACCACTAGCAGGTAGGGAATGCATCAGGGACTTTTTTTTTGTTCCATCTGGGATGGAGTTAAGCGTACTCTGTAGTGTGATCCTTTCTCTTCTCTCACACTTACGCCCTTGGGAAGTCAGGTGACGACAGATGGGGGCAAAGGGACAGCTGTGGCAGAACAAGTACGGATTAGCACTTGGTCAGCTTCCGGAAGACTCCTTCCAGGCTTCCGATGTGGCAGCAATGGGAACAGGAAGTTGTGAGTGGTAACACACACCTTCAGGCTGCACGCGTGCACACACACCAAGAGGGCCAGGAGTGAAGTACACATCAGAAGAGATTTGGCCAGATCAGGAGTAATGGGGTGGGGGAAGGATTTCTCAGTAACAAAACCAACAAACGGTCATGCTCTACATTCGAAAACAGCGCTGCCCAGATTCTCCTGTCCTCTCCTAAGATGCAGAGTCGTGTGTGATTGCAGGTGCATGACCTTTGACTCCTCTGAACCCCTGAAGTCCCGGAAGGAACTGGCTTCAGATCCTACCGGACTCATCCTGTGACAGGAGCTCAGGACAACACTTCCCATGGAGACCGTTCCCATAGGAAACAGAACCTCATCACACTTCTCTTTCCACCCCGGAGGTCATCTCTCCTTCCCCTGTGCTGTACTGGACATTTACCGTCCAAGAGTCCCCCGTCTCTTTTCAGTCACGAAGGAGGATGTCAGTCCCAGCCGCCTCGGTGATTAGGCAAGAGTCGCCAGCTCTTACAAATGGTCAGTGAGGAGAAAATGACCCAAATGCCACAAGCCACACAGCTCAGCAACATGACCTTCCTGAAAGGAACATTGCAAGCACTCAGGGTGGAGCAAACCTCAGCTTTGCCTCTTCACTGACTCAAGCCATCTTGAAACTTCCTGAGGGGATTTAGGGATGATGATCTTGGTTTATATAACAACTGGTTCTTTTATTCCGTTATTTAAGTTTTGAGACAGGGTCAGGGCTAATGGATCTCAGGACTTCAGACTTGCTGTGTAGCTGAGGGTGAGCTTGAACTTGTTTCTCAGCCTCTACCTCTAGAGTGATGGGATTGCGGGTGGACCACCCTGGTTGGTGTCTGTGGGGGACCGGGTAGAACCCAGACCCTCATTCCATTTTTAAAATATATTTTACTTTTCACATATGTAGGGTCAGTTTCATGGGAATTTTTTTTTCTATTTGATTTCCATTGTAAATCTTGTCAAAGACTTCAGAGAAATATCTGGAGTTGTTTTTTTAAATCCTACGTCACCCCATTTTTTTTTTAACAATTCTGTTTGGTGAGTTTCTGATTGGTTCTTCCTTTCTAAGATTTTCTCTTCATTCTGTTGAGAGACACGTGTCCCCGTCTTCCTCAGCAGTGACTTCGGTTCACACCAATCAGTGCACCTTGTTGGCAAACACGGACTGGCGTTGAGAGAGAGGACAATATAACTACCGACCGAGATCTGTTTCCAAGGCACGTCTCCCTCATCTCTGCCCGGAAGTGTTTCTTGACTTTTGGTAATGCTAAGGGACCGATTTCAACACTTGAGGAAGATTATCCAAATTTCAAATTCTCCACAGCATGCTTTGTGCTGTGGATCCTCTTGTCCCTAAGCCAGCTTTTACGGTCACAGTGTGGCCTCTTTGTTCCCAAGACCACAGTTTCTTCCTTATTCCAGAAGAACAAATATGCCTGGCTCCAGATGGACCATGACTCTCGGGGTGAGGGCAGAAGCTGGTTTCGGGATAAACTGTTTTCAGCGTGTGTCAAACGACAGCACTTTTCGGATGGCTACCCCCGTGTAGCTTCAACACATCTCTGTGAGAGAATGTGACTTCGGGGAGCCAAGACTTGGGGATGAGTTTACTTCTATCAGAAAAATAAAAACATGGATTAAGTGCTTCAAAGTATCCTACTGGATAAACCAAAAAGATCTGAAGGGTTTATAGATGCTTTCGGGTATGGGCTAAAGTCACTATCCTGTCCCTGGTGCGTCTAGAGCTATCTACGGCTCATGGCCTTCATTCCATGAGAGAGGGTCAGAGCACCGTGGTGCGGCCGACTCAAGACAACACACACTTCCATTCACAGTTTAGCCCTTCAGCCTGCACAGCCCCCTAAAGAACAACCACTTATTTCCACATGCTGACCTCGTACCCCAATCTCCATTTCTGAGTTGATTTTCCTTTCCTGGGGATCTCCTCTGTTTCCTCCCGTGAGTGCCACAGCCAGGCCCAGCCACGTCCTACGCTACTCATCATATTCAGGATGGAAAGAGATGGTCCGCCCGGCAGCTCCGCCCACAGACCCCATAGGCTAGCGGGCTGGTGAGACATTGAGCAAATAATACAGTACAGCGTGATAACTCTAACAATAGAATTCAAGGAGCATGTCTGTGCAAACAGGTGTGACCTCAGCCCTCCCAGACACATACCAATGTGCTTTGAGCAAAGACTTGGAGGCAGCATGCCCTTACTGTTAAGATTTGTGCTTTTCTTTGGGTTTTCGAGACAGGGTTTCTCTGTAGCTTTGGAGCCTGTCCTGGAACTAGCTCTTGTAGACCAGGCTGGCCTTGAACACACAGAGACCCGCCTCCTCTGCCTCTCAAGTGCTGGGATTAAAGGCTTGCGCCCCCACCGCCCGGCTGTGCTTTTCTTTTTTAACACACATTGCCATTCCATCCTCATAACATCCCCAGATACGGGTAGAAATATTCTTATCTTGCAAACAAGGAAACTGAGGCTCAGCAGGATTACATGACTCGCCCCGTATTTCAGCTAAGTAAATGGCAGGTCCCACTTTTAAAGCTGCTAACTGTGATTCCAAACCCGGGCTCATGACGGTTGCTCTTATAGTAAATGAGTTGATGGATATTTTTAAATCCGGGTCAGTGAAACCTACTCCTAGTTCCCATTTCGGACAGGTTCTCTCCCTCCCCGGCTCATTAAGTCCTCAGTGGCTCCAGAACTGTGGGGTGTGGAATTCCTTCCAAATGTCCTGGGGCTGTCTTTTCATCCGACACCACAAGAGGCAGGGAGCCATTAACCAGGGCGGGCAGAGCAGCCCCTCCGAAAACAAAGTGGCTGCAACAAATGAAAACTCCTCACCCACGGAGAACTGAAGTGACCTTCGTGAAGGTCACAGATCATTTTAAAGTACAAAGCCCTTGCTTTAAGATTGGGAATAACAAAAATAAATATGCCAGCTACATTACCACACAATGTTTTGGGGAAGAAAAAAATGTAAGAAAATCTAGAATGTGTATGTTATCCACATGGATACCTTCAAAGCTGAATTCTCTTGGTAAAGCCAGGCTTCTAGACACCACTGTATGATGTGAACGCCTCTGTATAATCTAAGGGCCAGAAATCTGCAAGGATATATTTGTATACATGGATATTCTATAGGGATTACCTGTAAATACGTTTTCTCCCAACACTTCCCACTCCAAGTTGCTGGCGTAGAGTGGGTTGTTGAGAGCCGCCCACTCTGGTTGCCGTAGTCTACCTCCCGTCTGTAATATGCCCCATCTCTCCTGCTAACTGTTCCCTCTGGCACCCCA